GAGGAGGGGAGGAGGAGGATGAGGAGGAGGAGGAGGGGAGGAGGAGGAGGAGGAGGAGAGAGGGGAGGAGGAGGAGGGGAGGATGAGGAGGGAGGAGGAGGAGGAGGAGAAGCAGGAGGAGGAGGGGGGCGGAGGAGGAGGAGGGGGAAGAGGAGGAGGAGAAGGAGGAGGAGGAAGCAGAGGAGGAGGAGAAGGAGGAGGAGGAGGGGGATGAGGGGGACCAGGAGCAGGAGGATGAGGAGGAGGAGGAGGAGGAGGAGGAGGAGGAGGAGGAGGAGGGGAGGAGGGGGAACAGGAACAGGAGGAAGAGGAAGAAGAGGAGGAGGTGGAGGTGGAGGATGGGCTCAGGGGTGGTCGGATCTTCGAGGTTTGCGGTTGGTGTCGCCCCCTCTCGGGGGGGTCCTTTCCGCCTCGGCCTGCTCTCTCCAGCGGCTGCGCCGCGTCGCGGGCGCTTTCCTCGGAGGTCGATAGGCCTCCTGCCCTGACGCGTCGATTAAGGAATTGGCCGTTTTCGGTTCGCGAGAGGGCGTCGCGGCCGTCATTCTTGCGGGTCCAGGTCCGTCGGTTTCGGTCCTGGTCCGTTTTCACCAAGTGGAGGTTTACTACAGGGGGTTTTGTCCACCGCAGATCTCTGGGGGTGTACGGATCGTCCCGAGTGACCGCCAGAGAGGAGAGCTCACAGTGTTGGCCCGTGCCAAGAGACACCCTGCTTGCCTCCAGGGTGCCCTGGGTTTCTTGCTCGTGGTTCCTCTTCAGCCTCGCCCTCTCTGGTCTTGTTGTGGTGCTGCCTCCTCTTTTCCCCTCGTGCTCCTCCTGCGTCCTCGTGCTCCTCCACTGCCACCCTTCCTTCCTCTCTCTTCGAGGCAGGGAGTGGGTGAGGGATGTACAGTGGAAGTCCACACCAAGAAACCCCGTGCTTGCCTCCAGGGTGCCCTGGGTTTCTTGGGTTTCGAGGGCTTTGCGACGGAAAGCGTGACGTTCCCACAACAAATATCAATGGCCGTCCTGGGGTCTCAGGGTTGGGCTTCGTGTGGAAGGTTTCTTGTGGTCGGGCTGCTACTGCAAACTCCTTCTGGCCTGCGGGGCCTGCAGGCCGCAGCCCTTGACCCAGACTGATGGGGAAGGAGGAGGAGGCGGAGCAGGAAGAGGAGGAGGAGGAGGAGGAGGAGGAGGAGGAGAAGGAGCAGGAGGAGGAGGAGGAGGAGGAAGACGAGGAGGAGGAGGGGGAGCAGGAGGAGGAGGAGGAAGAGGAGGAGGACGCCTGAGGTTCCTGCTCTCTGAGTCTTTTCGGAGGCTCCTCGCAGGCCCCTGGAAGTAGATAGGGCCGTGCGTCGCGCCGTGCGGGCTGCGCGCGGCGCGGCGCGGGCTGCGGCGGAGAACCGCCGATGCGCCCGCTCTGCGCAAGGATGAGGAGGAGAGCATGTTGTCTTCGAGCTCCTACTGCAGTGCTTCAGAGGCCACGCGTAGTCTTGAGCCCCTCGAGCTGTGGGTCACCCCCCCTCTGGAGACGAAGGAACGCCTGCGATTGCCACATCCTCCGCGGCTCCTTTACGACGAGTGGGCCCAGCGTTAACTCGGGTCTGCCCCCTTGCAGGAGGAATATCCCCAAATACTTCCAAAATAATATGGGGACGATGTTTTGAGGATTTTGGGTATTTTTTTGTCCGTCCAAAATGCCCCTGTATGGGGGACACGCCCGATTTCAGCCCAGCGTGCCCAGCTGATACGCCCCTGCAGAGGCCCCTGGAAATCCTACATCGAAGAAGGAGAAGGAAAGGCATAAACATAAATTGTTTTGGCGTTCCGCGCGGGTTTCTTGCATGCGCGCTCGGCCCCCCTGGCAGCGCCTCTGGCGCCGTCCCTGGCGCGCGCCGCGCGCCTGGGACGGGGGGTCCGGCGCGTATCCAAGAAATCCGGGCGGGCCTCCAAAAGTTCATGTTCATATGATGGCCGGCCCTGAAAGTCATGTTCATGACGGCCTGGCGGCCCGTGCCGCCGACCCTGAAAGACATCGACGACGACCATGAGGAGGAGGAGGAGGAGGAGGAGGAGGAGGAGGAGGAGGAGGAGGAGGAGGAGGCGGAGATAAGGAGGCGGCGGAGATAAGGAGGAGGAGGAGGAGGAGGAGGAGGAGGAGGAGAAGGACTCCCCCGGGGTGGACCTGGGCGAGGTCGCCCCGTGTGGGAAAGATGCGACCCCAGGTTCTCAAGGTCAGTCTTCTGTGCGCTTGTTTTTGTTGCCTCTGGCCCGGCGCCGCGGGCGTGCCCTCTGCAGGCCATGCCCGTGGGCGCCCTCCCGGTTCGCTCCTGCTCCCTGTTTTGTGTCATGGAATCCCCTCTTCCCTATCTTGCCTCATCTTCCTCTTTTTCCTCCTCTCCCTCATCCTTATCCGTCTGCCTCCTGCCTGGCTTCTTCAATACGAGGGAGCCCGGCATCGACCCAAGCGTCACGCCTCTGCAGAGTCCTCGGTTGGTCCGCTTCTGCCTCCTCCCCTGACCGCTCTATGTGCCCGGGCCCGTTTGGAATGTTTCTCGGCGCGCGCGCGCGCGTGTGTGTGTGTGTGTGTGTGTTTGCGCGTGCGTGTGTGTGTGTGTGTGTGTGTGTGTGTGTGTGTGTGTGTGTGTATGTGTTTGTTTGCGTGTGTGTATGTGTGTGCGTGCGTGCGTGCGTGTGTGTGTATGTGAGTGTATGCGTGCGTGTGTTTGTGTGTATGTGTGTGTGTGTGTTTGTGTGTGTGTGTGTGTGCGTGTGCGTGCGTGCGTGCGTGCGTGCGTGCGTGCGTGTGTGTATGTGAGTGTATGCGTGCGTGTGTTTTGTGTATGTGTGTGTGTGTGTTTGTGTGTTTGTGTGCGTGCCGTGCGTGCGTGCGTGCGTGCGTGCGTGCGTGCGTGCGTGCGTGCGTGTGTGTGTGTGTGTATGTGTGTGTGTGTGTGTGTGTGGGTGGGAGGGGGGTTGTGTGTTTTTCCGTCTCTGAGTTGCCTTTCCTTATCCCCCCCCGCTGCCGCCTGCCTGCCCTCCTCTCCCTCCTGCGTGCTGGCCCGTTCGCTCTTCGGTGCCCCCCGTCTGGAGCTCGTTTGCTGGTGCAGCCAACTCTGCCTCGCCGCCGACGGAAAAGTGTGTGTGTGTGTGTCCTCCTCCTCGCCCTCCTCCTCCTCCTCCTCCCCCTTCCTCCTCCTCCTCCTCTCCTCCTCCTCTCCTCCTCCTCCTCCTCCTCCTCCTCCTCCTCCTCCTCCTCCTCCTCCTCCTCCTCTCCTCCTCCTCCTCCTCCTCCTCCTCTCTCCTCCTCCTCCCTCCTCCTCCTCCTCCCTCCTCCTCTCCTCCTCCCTTCTCCCTCCCTCCCCCTCCCTCCTCCCTCCTCCTCCCTCCTCCTCCCCTGACCAAGATTTTACGTGCCCGGGCCCCCGTGGAACTCTCCTCGGCGTGCGCGTGCGCGTGTCTGGGCAGGGGGCGGCCCCCGGGGTGCCTGCCCAGGGGGTGTGCCCGCGCCGCTGGGTTTCCGCACGGCCCGTCGGGCGTGACCAGCCGCCTGCAGCGGGGCCAGCAGCGGTCCTGTTCGGGCTCCTCAGGGCCCGGAAGGCTCACCCTCCGAGCGGTCACGGGCACCGCCCTGGCAGAGGAGGGAGCACAGGTGCCCGACCCTGCTCGTCGGGGCTATGCCTACCCTCACGGGCAGCAGCAATTCACGACGATCCTCCTTCTTCTTGTCCTCATCGTTCTCCCCAGATTTCGTTGCCCCGCCTTTCCCTCCTGTCCTCTACCTTCCCTCCTCATTTAGCTGGTGTGTGTTGTAAACGTCTTCCCCCCCGACGAATCTCCGACGTGAGCCCGACGAGAATCCAGAATCCCACGTGGATCCGGCACAACCTGGTTCTCAGGTTGCCGCGCGAGACCTCCAGGAAATTGTTGACGCTTCACCTCTCCCCACCAACCCATCCAGAAACGAAGCCCAGGAGAGTTAGCGGTCACCAGGGAAGGGGAAGAAGGGGGTTGGAAGAAGGTCCTCTCTAGACCACCTACGCCCAGAGGGCTGGTGGGATTCCCTCAGACTGCTCCTTGTGGTTCTCCTTCTGCCTCCCGCCTGGCGCCGCGGGCGCCGCTGCCCTGGGGACAAAAAAACTTTCCCAGAACGCCAAAACTCTCCCGCACCGCGGGCGCCCCGTTGCGGAGTGAATCTCATCTTGCGTACATCACCTGCCATACAGTGGAAGCCCATGCCAAGAACACCCTGCTTGCCTCCGCCCTGGGTTTCTTGGGTTTCGATGGTTTTGCTACGGAAAGCGTGACGTCCCCATGCCAAAAACCAATGGACGTCCTGGGGTCTCAGGGTTGAGCTTCTTGTGTAATATTTCTTGTGGTCGAGCTCCTACACTAGCCCTCGCAGCTGCGGGTAAGAGTGAGGAGGGTCGTCGACAGTACGCGCGGCTCTGAGGAAGCCCGCCGAATGCGGCGATTCGCTACGGAACAATGATACAACGAGCCCTCCGCCGGCGCTGACCATTCGTCAGAACAACATGGGTGCGGTCGCGGGGTGGGTCGTGGGCGAGTCGCCGGCGGGTCGCGGAGGAGGACGACAGCAACGGCAAACAACAAACAGCAACAACAACAGCAACAACAGCAACAACAACAAGCATAATCTGCGCCGTGGAACTCCACCGCAGCCACGCACGCAGGGAAAACGAGTGACCGTTCGGCCCCCTCGCTCTGAGTATCCTCCTTGCTCTGTCCCCCCCCGGGGCGCCGGAGACGGGGCCACAGCAAACGGGGGCCGTGGACGGGGGCATCGCAGACGGGGGCATACTTTTTTGGTCGGCGGCTCCGAGGCAACAGACAGGGAGCGGAAGCGGCGTCCGGGTCGCGGTACGGGGCTAATTGCAAGACAATTGCCGCCAGCCAGTGTCGGCAGACAGATTCGCAGTTGCACGTGCACACAACAAAATGAACCGGGCCTTCGCACCCTCCCCTCCCCCCCCCTCATGGAGTAGACCTTGGCTGCTTCGGGCGTCTGTCCCCAGCAGGTGGACCCTCTCCCGCAGAGGACGCACTGCTGCAAAGAGCCGTATTAAGCAGAGGTCCGGAGCCAGACCACCCCTCCCCCCCTTTTCCGCCCAATGTCGAAACGCCGAATAAGAAAACGCTCACGAACCTACGCCACATCCGTTCCCAGACCCCCAACGCCATGGTACAGTTCCCGCGTCCTCCTCCTCCTTCTGCTCCTCCTTCTCTCCCTCCTCTCCTCCTCCTCTCCTCCTCCCCCTCCTCCTCCCAGCCAGCCTGTACCCTCCGCGTGTCAACCCTTTCGGTGGCCTCATAGGGAGCTCCAGCGAAGACGACTCTCACACCTGCTTTTCCTTCACACGCACACAGTTGGGCCCTCCGCCAGGATCGTTTTCATGACGTCGACCCCCAGAGGTCTCGACCCTTTCCCAGGGACGTGCTTTTCACCCCGAGTCACTCGAGTCGTTTTCTGACGGTTCCGAGGCTCGGTCAGGGACCCCAGAGGCTGACACTAGCGTTCAGTCGGGCATGTCCCCCTACAGGAGGAATATCAACAAATAGTCAAAACATAGTCCGAGGACGTCTTCTCGATTATTTTGTTAACTCTTTTTTTAACCGTATGTTTCGACTATGTGCCATTTTTCTTCCACAATTCCCCTGTAGGCGGACATGCCCGAGCTAACACCAGCGAAACACTTTCCGCCGGGATTCTTGTCCTTACTCTGATGGGACTGCTTTCCACCACCACCACCAGAAGTCGGAGGGGGAGGGGGCCCTCCCCCTCCTCCTCCTCCTCCTCCTCTTCGTCGTCCTCCTCCTCCTCCTCCTCCTCCTCCTCCTTCTTCCCCCATCCAACTTATGGTGGTGGTGGTGGTGGTGGAAAACAAGCCCCCTCGCGGCGGTCTCGGCTTGGGGGGTCCTGGCCCTCCCTCTCGCAGGTCATGCCCGCCGCCCGGCCGCACAGCCTGGTCGCCCTGCTGGCCGGCGCCTGCGCCGGCGCCGGGGCGCCCGCGCTGGCCGGCTGCCCCGCGCGCCTCCTGGAGGCGGCTCGGGAGGGCGCGGAGGAGGGCGAGGCCGAGGAGCACGAGGGCGGGGGGGAGCAGGTCGAGGGCGAGGACGAGGGCGAGGACGAGGGCGCGGAGGAGGGCGATGGCGCGGAGGAGGACGCTGGCGAGGTGGGCGAGGGCGAGGAGGGGCAGGAGGTGGAGGAGCCAGAGATGGCATACACACAAACCGTCGGAGCTCCGCGCGGATTTCCTGGATCGGCGCTGGAGCCCCCCGGCGGCGCATCAGGCGCCGCCCCGGGCGTGCGGGGTCCGCGGGTCCAAGAAATCCGCGTGGACCTCGAACAGTTCATGTACATGCTGAATTTCGTCCAAAAGAAGGGGGAGGGCTGTCTAGTTTCAGGCCGCTCAAATGGGGCTCAGCGGATGGTGCTGGAGGATCGCGCCGCACGGCCGATGCTTCGCCGATGCGGCCTGATGTGGAGCCGGGCTCTCTCCAGGCCGACGTCGCCGATGCGGCGCCGACGCCGCTTGTGCATCGCCGATGCCCTGGCGATGCGGCGCGATCCTCCGACCCCGCAGGGTGCTGTCGGGTCCCCGGCCCGGCTGTCAGCAGGCAGGGGCCCCTCGCCCAAGGCCGCCGTGGGTCGCCGCACCTCCTCTGTCCGAGGAGAGCGGCTCGCTGCGCGAGAGGCGCTGGTGGTTCTGTCTTGCTGTCCTCTCCTGCACCGCGGCAGAGCGATCGCCGTCCTCGCCAGTCTTAAGCTTGAGGGAGGAGCAGGAGAGGGACGGGGAGGAGGAGGAGGAGGAGGAGGAGGAGGAGGAGGAAGAGGAGGTGGTGGGCGGTGGAGGAGGGCGCCTCCTGGAGGACCCTCGCCATTCGGCATGGCCTTGAGGTTGTTGGGCGTTTACGGGCTCCTGGGGCCTTCCGCGGGACCACGGACTTTCCGACAACGACTTGGGATGAGGAACTGGTCCTGAGGTAAGCGAACCCTGGTCGAGGACCCGCTTCCCTCATGACCAGATTTCTGGCAGATTGGCTTCTCACGAAACTTGTGTCTTGGGCAGTGGCTGGGACCTGCCCTGAGATCCGAGGTCGCGCCAAAAATCTGCATCGTTGGAAAATCCCGCCCGACACTGTCTGGCCAATGGTTCTGGGGCAGGGTCTGAGGCGGCGGTCTCAAGAACACATCGTCGGGTGCATGGGTCGTCGCCGTCGTCGCCAGCCGTCGCTGGCGCTGGCCCGCGGCAGCCCCTCGGGTGCCCTCGGTGGCCCTCGGCGGTGCTTCGGCGGTCCTTTGGCGGTTCTTCGGCGGCTCTTCGACGGCCGTTCGGGGGCCGTCGGTGGTCCAGGCTGCGGCACGTCGGGCGTCTGGTGTCGTCGTCGTCGTCGTCGTCGTCGTCGCCGTCGCGTCGTCGTCGTCTTCGCCGTCGTCGTCGTCGTCGCGAGTCGAAGCTCGGGATCGAGTCGTTGTTTGATCTTTGCGGCACCCCTTGGCTCTGTGGGGGTCTCCAGGGGCTTGCACTATCAGCTTGCAAGGCGCGGCGTGTCGCAGATACCGCCGCTGCGGGTCGCTCAGCAAGAGAGACCCGCCGCAGAGACTTCCAGCCCCATCTGGAGGTCGACGAGGGCTGCCTGCGGCGGCGGAGGCGGCGACAGGGTGGCGGCTGCGGCGAGAGGTGGCGGAGGGCGGCGGCGGCGTCGGCGAGAGGTGGTCGCGGGCGGGTACAGCAAGAGTCCCCCACCCGCCGCGATAGGTGGTCGAGGGCGGCGGCGGCGACGGCCCCGCGCACGACGAAGTGCGACTCGTGGACGCCGGGCTGGCGCTCCTCGCACAGCAACGGCCTGGAGGGGCGTCGAGAGGGACGGGGACGGAGGAGTTCCCTCTTCCCTCCCTCCTCGATGTTCCGCCCTCCCTCCCCGCACCTCCTCCTCCTCCTCCTCCTCCCCCTCCTCCTCCTCCTCCTACTCCTCCTCCTCCTCCTCCTCCCCCTCCTCCTCCTCCTCCCCCTCCTCAAAGTCACTCCGCAGCCATCTCGGCCCCGGCGGCCGCCCCGCAGAGGTCCCCGCAGCAGCCTCACCTTGTCCCCTGAGCGCACCGCCCGCGGGCGCCACTGCTCCGGTGGCCGCCGCCGCGATGTGGGCGCCCTCGGCTGGACGCAGCTGCTGCCGAGGCGCCATCGGCAAGCCCGCCGCGGCGCTGGCCCTGGCGCTGTCTGCGGCGGTCGCGCTCTCCGGCGCAGGCACCCTCCGACACGGGCGCGTCGGCGGGGCCCTCCACAAGACAAGGGCGGATTGCAGGGCCGAGAGATCTAGGCTTTGGTTGCAGAAGAAGAAGAATGACAACAGCGGGAACAGCGCAGACAGGCGTGCGATGACACCGGCCAAGTACAAGCTCCGCTCCGCCACCACTGTGCTCGCCCAGCTGGAGGAGCAGGAGAACATGGTGATCGCCGAGAAGCTGAAAGACGTCCCGATCACGGAGAAGATGATGTCGGAGCGCTGGGCGACCGAGGACCAGTCTGGGGCACGACACGTTCGACAAGAAGTATCGCCTTTTCTAGGCGCCGCACTGCTACAACACACCTGAGTAGTACCGCGGCGAGCAGAGGATCGGACCCCCAGGCGGTAAGGAGAATAATCTGGTCGAGGGGGCGAAGGTGTACACCGAGTGGAAGGAGTTCTACAGCGAGGAGGACGAGATGTGCTTCTCGGAGAACAAGGCTTGGAACTCAAAGCAGGGTGGAGAAGGGGTGGCCTTTGACGCCAGGGTGGACAAGCAGACGACTCCACGAGGGGCGTGCTAGCAGGACGCCAGGGTGGAGAAGCAGAGCACGCGGATCAGCACTGCAGCCAGCGCCCCCGCTGGCCTATGCCGTGAACGAGGGGCGGGTGGGTCGGCCAGGCGCGGTGGGCCCGCATCTCGCCAGCTGCCCGCCCGCGGCCGACCACAGCTCCGCGAGGAGTTGCCCAGCGCGGTCGGCAGCCCGAGGGGAGCGGCCGCCCCATTTGGCTCGCGTCTCGGCGTCTGCAGCGCGACTCTCGGCCTCCTCCTCCTCCGTCTGCTCCTCCCGCTCTCGCGGCCAGGCCGGGTCGATCCGCACAGCGGCGCCCTGCTCTTGATCCTGCTGTGCACGCAGCCTCCTCTGTCTCCTCCTCGACCTCCTGTTCTCCGGACGTGTCTCCTCGGCGGAACTGGGGGTCGGCGCAAACGTCGGGGGCTCACGCAGCAGCAGGAGCTCGATACAGCGGGGCGTCGGCGCTCAAAGTGTCCCTGGCCAGGACGGCGCAGAGAAACGGGGTCGTCTTCACCAGCCTGCGCGCGGAAGCTGCCCGCGTAAAGTCGCGCGCGAGCGCCCTCGTCTCCAGTGTCGCGTGCCAGGCTGGCGGTCCGCGTGAGCCGCAGCGTGAGGTTGCTGCGCCATGTCGCGCAAGACCCCTTTCTTTTCGTCGCCCATCGTGGAGCCGCGTGCAGCAGTCTCCTCGGGGCCGTGGGGGCCGCCTTGAAGACATCCTCGGGACACGCTGGGCAAGGGACCCCTTTGGCAGCACCTGGCAGCGTGCTCGCCCAATCCCCTCTGGCTGACCCGAGAGTGGGATGATGGGCACATTTTCCACCACCGCTGCCATAGGTAGGGGTAGGAGGCGGAGGTCGTCTACCTTTTTCGTCGTGTGGTACGACGTGACCACTGGGTGCGGGGGGTGTAGCGCGAGTTCTCTCGGTGCCCAGAAGGAGAAGCAGAAGGAGGAGGAGGAGGAGGAGGAGGAGGACGAGGAGGAGGAGGAGGAGGCGGAGGAGGAGGAGGAGGAGGAGGAGCTCCTCATCCCCCCTCCTCCCCCCGCCCTACATGTGGTGGTGGTGGTGGAAACTTTGCCCATCATGGGGCCGCCGAGCCCACCCGTCCGCGCCCTCCGCGGACCTGGGTCTGCGCGGACCTGGTCTGGCGCGTCCCCCCGAGGGGGGGGGGGTCAAGGAGGATCGAGGATAGGGGAGAGGAGGCGGAGTCTCCTCCTCCTTCTCCTCCTCCTCCTCCTCCTCCTCCTCCTCCTCCCCCTCAATCGATAGCCTTCCTCCCTCCACCCTCCCTTCTCCCCCTTTGCTCCTCCGCATTTTTGCTCTTCTCCTGCTACGCATGCTCGACCTCATTCTCATCTGCCTCCTCCTCCTTCTCCTCCTGCTCCTCCTCCCCGTCATTCTTCTCTTCCTCCTCCTCCCCCTCCTCCCCCTCCTCCTCCTCCTCCTCCTCCTCCTCCTCCTCCGTCGAGGAGGCCGAGGAGGACCGCAACCTCATCCCCCGAACTTGAGGAGGGTGTAGGAACAATATACACAGATCGGTGATGATGGTGCTGATGATGATGATGATGCTGATGATGATGATGATGATGCTGATGCTGATGCTGATGCTGATGCTGATGATGATGATGGTGATGGTGATGATGATGATGATGATGATGATGCAGATGCTGACGACGAGGATGATGATGCTGATGATGATGCTGTTGCTGATGGTGGTGATGATGACGATGAGCAGGAGGAGGATGACACGGAGGACGACCGAGGAAGTGCAGGACTGAGAAGACAGAGGGTGAGGGTGATGATGGTGATGATGATGATGATGATCATGTTGATGATGATGGTGATGATGATGATGATGATGATGCTGATGATGATGATGATGATGATGATGATGATGATGGTGATGGTGATGGCGATGGTGATGACGATGAGGAGGTGAAGGATGATGATGTTGGTGGTGATGATCATGATGATGATGATATTGATGGTGCTGGTGCTGCTGATGACGATGCTAATGATGACGCTGCTGGTGATGATGATGATGATGATGTTGATGATGATGATGATGATGATGCTGATGCTGATGATGATGATGATGATGATGATGATGATGATGATGATGATGATGATGATGATGATGATGATGATGATGATGATGATATCATGGTGGTGGTGACAATTATGACGAGGAGGAGGAGGATGAGGAGGAGGAGGAGGAAGATGAGGGTGAGGAGGAATAACATTGAGATTCACCAGGGGCCGTATGAAGGCCGAGGTGGAGGACGAGGAGGAGGAGCAGGAGGAGGAGGAGGAGGAGGAGAACGGTGGAAGGCCAGGAAGATGAGAGGATTGGGAAATCATCAAACGCATGTTTTGGGGACGCTCCTGCATCCTTGTTGGGTCTTGTCTGGAAGCCTCAGGGGACCGTGGAGGCTTCCACAGGGTTCCAGTGACCTACGGATGCCTCCATGGGGAGATTGGCCACAGTGGGGTCTAGGATCGAGGATGTATTCTCGAGGATCGCGGTTTGGGGGCGTTCTCCGTTCCATTTTGGGGCCTCGCGGGACGCTTCGTCGCCCCGGCTCGACTCCTTTTGTCTCGAGTTTTGGCCCAGAACGTACCCAGGGTGTGGTCCGGGGATGGATTCTGGCCCTTGGGTGCAACCTTCCTCCACTCGGGCGAAGAGAACTATGCACATGCACCGATCCTGACAACGCCCATCCTTGACCCAGGATCGGTGAATATACCTTCCTGGCCAAGGCAGGAGGGCGTATGCACCGATCCTGGGCTCAGGATGGGCCTGGCCAGAATCGGTGTATGTGCATAGTTCTCGTTCCTCCATCCACCTCCCGTGGCGCACACAGGTTGGTGGCCTCGGGGGCGGGGAGGCCTGGGCGCCTGCCCGGGAGCGTGCACAGTGGGCCTCTCGCGGGCTTGTCGTCGATGCACCGACGACTGGGGGGCCTCGTTTCTCAGAGGCGGAGGGGAAGGGAGGAGGAGGAGAAGGCAGCAGGACAGTTCTGGACGCCCGAAGCGGGTACGGAAAGAATCGGTACGATGCCCAGCAGCAGTTCCTGCTCATTTTGAACAGGGCTCGCTGTCCGCGCCGCCGCGGCCTGTGTCCATTTGAGACAGAAGGCCGCCCGCCCAACAGCGGCCGCTGTTGGTTTGGGACAACATTTGTTGTTGGGCATCATACCCATTCTTTCCGTACCCATTTCGGGCGTCCAAAACAGTGGACAATCTAGCCAGGTCGAACGAGCCAAAAGGCCCCGCTCCACCCCCCCCCTCCGCTCAATGCCACCCCTCCTCGCGCCCGTGATTGTAGCTTCATGCGTGGCACACTGGCTCAGCTTGCTATCGGGATTGGAACGCGTTCCCACCTGGCGAAAAGAAGACGATTGCGCGCGGTGCCGCTTCCGACGACCTGGCGAAGGACAGGTTTTCGCAGAGACGGCAGCGGCACTCTGGAAATCATGTGACGTGGCCTTCCTTCGGGTTGCAACATATCCGATGAACGCGGGCCGCGCCGAAGCAGCACTGCTCATCTCGCACAAGCTGCGCCTGGGCGAGAACAGCAGTTCGCCCGCTCTCGCGCGGCCCCGCTGCCAGAGCCGCTTTCAGCCACACGGCGAGCGATGCACGTGGCGCGCCCGCGCGGGAGCTCCCGCTCCCAGTAGACATGTGAGGGGAGCTTCGGCGAGGGCAGTTGGTCGCCCGCTCTCGCGGGCCTAGCAGCCTTGCGCCGCGCAGAGGCGCGAGGAGGAGGAGGAGGAAGAGGAGGAGGAGGAGGAGGAGGAGGTGAAGGAGTGCGAGGAGTGAGGAGGCTGGGGAGCAGGAGGAGCAGAAGGAGGAGGAGGAGGAGGAGGAGGAGGAGGAGGAGGAGGAGGGCGACGCGCGCACCGAGAAGTCTCATAGTGTATGCGTCGTGGCGGGCGGTTTCTGGCCACACCGCCCAGGAAACGGTATACTACAAGATGGATCTACTACATGTCCAGGTCGGAAGCGCGCCTCCATCGAGCACCTGTAGTGCGAGTCTGTCTCTGCGCGTGCCATCCTTCGACCGGATCAAGTCAAGCAGTGGCACAGCGCATTGTGGCTTGTACGGTCGGGGATTTTGGTGATAGCGAGTCGCTCCACCGGTCCTGGCCCACCACGCCTCGGCGCGACACGCTACAGTGAGTGGCTTGAATAAGGAACACTTACTTTTCAGAAGGGGCTCGGTCGTTCCTTAGATTTTACATGCGTTGTTTACAGTTCCTTATGCGTTATCTATTATTGATCGTTCCTTATGCGTTATCCCTTGGGAAAAACAGGGGCTTCGTTCCTTATGTGCCGATGACTGTATCCACCTCGTGGTCCCCGAGCGTCCACGGCCCGAGCCTCTCCGAGCGTCCAGCCAGCCCCGCGGAGCGCCGCGGCGCGCCCTCCGCCCACGGCGCACCAGCGTCGCAGGGGCCGCCGCCCGCGACACGCGAAGCGAGCACCCGACCGTAGTCGTCCACTCACCTTTGGACCGCCTTCCTCCTGCGACCATACAACATTTTTGTTGGTCTGCGGGTCGAGAGCGAGCCTCTTCCGGTGAAGAGCTAGGCGGGCCGCGCAACGCACGAATTGGGGAGACGGAGAGCACGGGCGGGCGGGGCCTCAGGCGGCCGGAGGGCGCGGGGTGCAGGCGGTGCTGAGGAGCTTGCGCAGGAAAAGGGACGCCTTGGACAGGAGCCGGAGGCGAAGTCCCGGAGGGTGAGCGGTGTGGTGTTGCCGCCGACGCTGCGACCATAAAACATGCCACCAGAGAAAAAACCCAATCAGAGGATGGTCTGATCGATGAGGAGATCGACCGGGAAACCGGGACCCCGGAACCCACCGAAATCGGCCCGGAACCAGTAACCAGGAACCCGGCAACCTAGAACAGGGAACCCGGGAACCCAGCCGGCCACCGAAATCGGCGGGTCATCTTCGCGAAATTTTCAAATTTCCGCGAGGACCCCTTCAGTGCAAGCACTGATTGGGGAATCAAGCAGTGACAAGGCGTCCTGCGGCTTGTACGCAGCCGAGAAAACGCGTGCTTGGTATGTCGCGCCGCCGGGTCTGGTCCCACCACTCTTCGGCTCGACGCGCGGCCAAAATCTCCCAGTTCCCAGGCGTACGTGTAAGTCGGGCGTGTCCCCTTACAGCAGGAACATTCAAAAATTGTAAAACAATAGCCTGGGGACGATGTTTTAAAATCATGTTTGAGAAACTAGTTTGGTGTGTTTGTCTGGAGTATTTTTAATTTTGCGTCCAAGATCCGCCTGTACAAAGACACGCCCGACCTAAGCGTACGTCCCGAGGCTTCCCCAGCCCCCCGCCTTGAGGAGCGGAGCGACACGCAATCCACCTGCAAGGCCTTGGGTGCCACAGGGTCCGCCACCGTAAACCAACCGTGCCACATCTTGCCTCCGGCCATCGAGGATCGCATGTCGCCGCGCCGTTTGTGCCCGACGCGCCTACGTGGGCGACGCCAGCACCACGGCAAACCCCGCGTCCCGCGCCGAAGTAAACAAGGCCGGCACCGCGGCACATCCCACGGCAAGCTTTGCGCTGGAAGCGGTGTTTACCCTGGTGGTCGAGGCGCCCTCCCCAAGACGGGGAGGCGCGCGTCGGAGCAATTGGCGCGGCGACAGAATGTGATCGTGCTTCTCGGCACCTAGCACACCTGTGGTCGCTGCCCAGGATTGAGCCTCTTGCGCGAGCGCACTCGCTGGCAGCGAGCAATCGATGACATCGCAATCGCTGGCAGTTTCCTTTTTGCATTGCGCAAGGAATCCCGCCCAAAGTTCCTAGAGGCAGTCAAAGAAGTGCTCGCAGAACAAAGGAACGCCTTAGCTGGTCCCTCCTCTCAGCGACACCGAAACGGATATTTACACAGTAACAGGTATTTGGGCAGTGCGCAGGAAGGCTTCAGGAGAGTGTACCTCCCTGCATCGACCAAAGCCCCAGTCTACTGAGCATAGTCGGCTCATGTCGCCGCGACATTTGTTCCGACGCGCGGCCTTGCGTCTTGGGGAGGGCGCCTCGGCGGCCAGGGCAAACGCCGCCTCGGGCGCGGTGGGTTTGCCGTGCGTTTGCCGCGGTGCCCGCCTCGTCCACTTGGGCGTCGGGCACAGGGCTTGCCGTGGGTTTGCCGTGGTGCCGGCGTCGTCCAGTCGGGCGCGTCGAGAGCAGACGGCGCGGCGACACATCAAACAAGAAACGGGCTTGTGAGCAAGCGCCCCACGGAGATTTGTTATACCCCGATTGCATCAGGGACCCACAGAAGCTCTGTGGCACCCAGGGGGTCCCAAGGCTCGACGAAAAGTGCGCTCCAAGATGTTGCAGCAGGGTCTCTGATCACCTGTGCTTACACCCACAAGGCATTTCATTGGAAACGCGTCGATTCCCATGGGCTCCAAATGTCGCCCAAGAGAACCAAGAATCTGGGCTGGACCATGGGCGTGTTCTTGGAGAGTTGTTTGAGTAGAGTGCTCTTGTATATCTGGACCTGGACTACGATTGCACTACTGCTGTTAAAGAAAGCGCTCGGAGTGGAGCCGATGTTCTAAGCGTCGAGTTTTCTTAACTCTGAGCTGGGGGGTCCTGCGTTCGCCAGGGCCCCCTTGCTCTGGCTCCCCTCAGGCCCCCGCTCTTCGTCGTGCCCGCGCTCGGGGTCTACCGCGGCGGCAAGTCGATGCTGCTGAACCGGCTGCAGGGGCGCCAGGCGCCCCAAGCCTCCCCCCGCTCCAGGATCGACGGCGACGACGACGACGACGATCCAGGATCGAGGTTTTTGGACGAAGACGACGAAGACGACGACGGCGACGACGACGACGACGATCCAGGATCGATCCACGGCTTATGTTGGCTTCCCTGGGATCTCTGCGAGGCCTCCCGTCGCCACGACCGGGTCCGCCTCGACAGCCTAGCCAAAGCGCTTCCCGGGCATCCGCACCCAGGGCGTCTCGCGCCGTGAAGCCATCGCGACACAGTGGTTCTCACCCCTCTCGGCCCTTTGGGGCCTGATGGCCACAGAGATAAGCTCGGCTTTCTCCCCCAAGTCAGACCTGCCTCAGGGGCTCTTACTTGGTTGAGAAGAGTGGTGCCTCGGGAGACCACGTGGCCCGTTGCCCATAAGGATGCCCCGCCCGGCCAAACGGACAGAAGATTGGGCCTCGTCCTGGTCACGATGGCCCTGTCAGGCCAACCCGAGTTCCCCGAACCCGAGTCTTGCGCCTCCCCGAGAGACGTCCGGGAGCTGGGCACCTTGCCTGCCGTGGCGGTTTGCCTTCTATCACCTTCTCGCCTTGCCCACATCCGTGTTGGTCAATCGGCGTCACTCCAACATACTAGGACTGTGTGTGCGTCGCCCCCCCAGGGGGCGACGCGCCCACCGAAACATCTTGTAAGATATGCGTCGGGGCGGGCGCTTTCTGACCACACCGCTCGGGAAACGATCTACTACAAGATGGGTGTACTATACGTTGGGGTCGGACTTGCGCCTCCAAGGAGGACAGGTAGTACTAGTGTGTCCCTGTGCCTCCCATTGGCTGGCCTTCCTTAACCCTCTTGCCTTGCCCACATCCTTGCTGGTCGGCTGGGACGCCTGGGACCGCACCTGTTGACGGCTGGGACGCCGGAGGCCTGTCGGAGAGGAGGGGCAGCTCGGCCAGGCTGGCCGGGCAGTCCACGGACTGTCAGAGACTCCGTTCGGCGGCACCTCCATGCTGGCAGTGCTTGCTGGCCTGCGCAGCATGCTGCCGCGTGCTCGGAACGGGTCGGCCACACGGGTGGTCGGGTCTTCGCTCTCCTGACTTGTGGCACCCGCTCGTCTGCACGCCGTGCTGGTCCATCTCCGCCGTGTTCGGGGCAGCAAGAGCGGGGTGCGGGCCAGCGGGCCGCGGCCCGGTCGGGGCCTCCATGTTGGGGAGACGGCCTGCGGCGGCCCGCCCACAGGCGCCCTACGCGGAGGGCTTCCGGGTCGGCCACGGACAGGGCTCCCACACGCGCGGCGTGGACATCTGCCCCGAGGAGGTTGAGCTCGGCAGCAAAGCATGGGGGCCTGGACTGCCCCCTGAGTTCCGTGTTTGGCATCGGTTCGCGCCGTCCAGCGTCCGGGAGTCGATGAGACAGCGCCGATTCGGCGTCGAGCTAGCGTCGATCTGTCGTTGATCTAGGCTCGATTGGGCGTAGATGTATGCAGCGTCGATTTAGCGCCGATTCGCAGGCGCCGACAAGGTGATATGGGAGGCTCCCGTGAGTTGCCGCCGACGAGGTTGAGGGCCTCGGCACGGTGGTCTGGATGGACACCGAGGTCCGGGGTTGCTGCTCCGTGTCCCTACGCTCCCGCTCCACCTCGGAGTCCCTGGCGGGCCCCTTTGAGGCCTGGCCCGGAGAAACCAACCAGCTGCTCGAATAGTAGTGGGCCACATGCGAACCCTACCCCTACCCCTACCCCCCACGATTTCTGAGATGGAGGGTGGGGTTCACTTCGTTCGGAAGCTCTCGAGCGAAGTGAACCCCACCCTCCCCCTCAGAAGTCGTGGGGGGTAGGGGTAGGTTTCGCATGTGGCCCCCTAAATAGACACTTCGAACTTCTGGAGTGAAGTCGGGCACGTCCCTCTACAGGAGGACTGTTCAAGAGTAGTCAAAACATAGTGCCAGGGGACGACTGCTCGAGTATTTTTTTTTCTGATTTTTTTGAACATTTTTTGATTTCCTTCAAAAGCTGCCTGTAGGAGGACATGCCCGACCTGATTCGGGAGCTCCGAGCGGGATTCTTGGATCTGCGCTGGATCTCCCCCCCTGGGGCCCCAGCGCAGATATCCGAGAAAAATCCGCGCGGAGCTCCGACCGCAACGCTTGTGAATGTGTGCAGCGGTTCCGGCCTCTGCGCGTGGGTGGTGCTCTGGAGGCCGCAGGGGCATTCTCGGAGATCCTTGAGACACCATGGGCCAAGGGACGCAATGCCAGAAACCATGAAATCGAATGACTCCGCGCACTCTTGATGTCGCTCTTTCTTCCCCGAGTCTCCGCGCGCTGTTCTCCTGGAGTTCCGCGCGGATGTCCAAGGGACACCATGGCAACCAACCCGACGAAGGGCCTGTTCTCCTGGGAGGACGCCCACGGCGCGCACGGGTCGAAGATCTTCAGCCTGGCGCTGCTGGTCTCGTCGGCGGTGCTGCTGAACAGCGTCAAGGCTCGGGCGGAGTGCAGAGACGATGGCGGCGGCGGCGGCGTCGACGACGACGACGACGACGACGGCGACCACGACGACGACGACGACCACGAGGACAATTGATGACGACGGCGACGACGACGACGACGCCGACGACGACGGCGACGTTGGCGACGTTGACGACGTTCACGACGTTCACGACGACGACGTCGACGACGCTGGAGTGCCCTGGCTGGAACAGGTGTTCTCCGCCCTCTCGGGGGCCAGAGGGGATCTGATGGGCCTCCCGAGCGGGGCCAGGGCAGACGGGGTCGGCGGGTGGCCGATGCGGCGCGAGGTGGAGCCCGAGCTCCTGCACCCGACGCGCGGGAGCCCAGGCGTGCGCTGACCTCGGCCTGGTCCGCCGACCGCGCGCAGCCTGCCTCGGCCCTCGTTGCGCCGCCTGCGTCGCATTGGAGGGTCGCGGTGGACAGAGCACACGTCTGCGCCAATCACGCGTCCTGAGGATCACCGAGTGTGACGACAGTGCAAATCAAGGCGCGAACATGCTGTTTGTCGCAACGGCAGGCGAGAGCGCCAGCGGCGAGTCAGGTCCGATCGGGCCGCGCAGGAGCCGAATTAACTAATGCCGACGGGCCGGCGACCTCAGGCAGCGCCTCGGCGGCCGGGCCGGCGCGAGGGGGGGTTCAGGCTGCAGTAAACTCAGGCGCGAACATGCACGCAGCACCACGCAATTGCGGATAAGAGTGCGGGGGCGGGCGCGGGGTGGGCCGCGGGGTGGGTCGCGGGCGGGTCGCGGGTGGGTCGCGAGGCGTGTCGCGGGGTGGCTCGAGGGTGGGCCGCGGGCGGGTCGCGGGCGGGGACGACGACCACAGCCCAAACAAGATCCGGTGGACGGAGCGCCACTTCTGCCAAGCACCCAGGGGCAATGATTGACCGTTCCTCCTCCTCCTCCTCCTCCTCCTCCTCCTCCTCCTCCTCCCCCTCCTCCTCCCCCTCCTCCTCTTCTTCCTCCTCCTTCTCCTCCTGAGAGAGTTGGGACCTCTCGCTTGGGCTGACTTACGCCCTCACCGCTGGGACGCTGCGCCGCACGCCGACTCACCTATACAGGCGCGCTGTGGAGCGCCCGAGATTCTTCACCCCGACGCCTCCGATGCATCGCCGACGCCACCGATGCAAGGCCAGTGCATCCCAGACCCCCGACGTCAGGATTTGGTCACGACGTCGACCCCCATGAGGTCTCGACCCATGCCCCGGGACCGGCTTTTCATCCCGAACCGTGTTTTCACGGTCACGAGGCCCGGTGAGGGCCCACAGAGGCCGAACATTGCGCAAAATTTCCCGTCGCGTTTTTTTCCATAGCTCGAGGGGGCCTGGGATGCATGGCCAATGCATCGGCGATGCATCGGCGGTGCGACGTGCTCGCCTGACCTCGTTAACTCGGGCCCCATCTGGGGGCCTCCGGCAGGAGGGGGCGAGGGAAGGGTCAAGTCAGGTTGTCCCTCTACAGGAAGAATATTCAAAAATACCTACGAAAAGTTTCGGGACGATTGGTTTTTTGGTATGTTTGCACATGTGTTGAGCACTTTTGATCATGTTTTGACTATGCTTTATCTTTCGCCCAAAATCCGCCTGTAGCGGGGCATGCGCGACCCAAGGGAAGGGCGAGGGGGTGCAGCGGCCTTTTCTGAGAGGCAGCGGGGCGCCCGGAGGCCCTCCTGGCTTTGAGTCGGGCCTGTCCCCCTACAGGAGGAAGATTAAAACATATGTTAAAACATAGTTCGGGGACGATTGTTTGATCATTTGTTTTGGTCATTTGGGAATATTGGTTGGGGCATTTTCTATTTATCTCCGGAAATCCGCCTGTAGGGGGACATGCCCGAACTAATCCTGGCTCCCCAGAGAATCTCCCCCGATGCCGCCCCCGGCCCTTCCCAGGAAGCTCCGTGCCTGAAATCGGGCGCGTCCCTCTACAGGGAGAATATATTCAAAACTAGTTTCAAAACTAGTCTTGGGACGATTTGTCTTTTTGGTATTTAATACATATTTACATGCACACATCTCTATATATATATACATACATATACATATATACATGTATAGCAGTTGTTGGCTTCCTTGCAAAATTCCTTCAAGTCCGCCTGTACGAGGACATGGCCGACCTAACCCTTGCCCTTTGAAGCCCCCCCACCCCCTCGCCCCCCCCCCCCGAACCCACCTTGAGATCCGACGTTGCAACAAAATTGCGCCGTCGCAGAAATTCCGCCCGGAGCCCCGGACCGCATCTTCCCGCGTCACATCTCGAGCCGGGTCGATCTGTGAGGGTCCAGGGGCCCCAAAATTCAGCGAAAACGCCCGACGTGACACAAATGGCAACGCCGGGATCTCAGGGCAGGTCCGCTCAAGACTGGCCCCCCAAGCTCCTCGCGGGGGCCGCCCTCCGCCCCGGCGGGCCTTCCGCGCCGCGCCGCGCCTGGGGCGGCGAGGGCTCCCAGCAACGCCCCGGAGGCCTCTTCCCCAGGCTGAGGCCTCTGCGGCGCCCGAGCTCGCTCGGCCGCCCCGCTGGGCAGCGGAGCGGGCTCGGTCGCGAGACCTGCTCGGCGAGAGTCGAGCCCGCTCCGCGGCCCAAGGCGGCCTGCACAGCCCGGCGATCCGACGCTGCCGAAAAGTTGCAGCACCGCCAAAATAGATCACGCCCGAACTTCGTGGGCCCTGGAAACGACAGGGCCGTTTTTTTTACCCGTTCCTTTTTGCCATTTTGTCTGCCGGTTCCGACGCCTTTTTGTTACCGCTTCCGTCGCCGTCTTTTTACCGGTTTCGGCTCCGGTCCCAATCTTGGAGCCGCTTTGTTGCCGTTTCCGCCCGCCGTTTTTTGCTGCTTCCATTTTCGAGAGATGCTTTTTCGGAAACGGTGACAAAACGGCCCTGCCGTTTCCGGGGCCCACTACTTCAGCGCCTGGAGTTCCGGACCGCATCCTCCGGCGTCATGTTTCGAGCTGAATCGATCCGTGAGGGCCCCAGGGCCCGACACTGATCGTGTGGTTCCAAAGGGAACCCCAGGGCAAGGGACTTTTGAGACGGGCGATGCCGATGTCTCGAGTCCGCTCGGCTTGGCCCACAGGGTCGTCGCACGACGAATTCACTCGCACTTCACTTAGAAGCCTCGGGTGCAACGCTGCGGTCTCAGAAGTTCATGTCGCTCGCGCCCCTCTCTAGTAAACGCATCACTTGAGCGAAAGCGCCCTTTGCGAAAAAGTTGCAACGCCAGGATCTCAGGGGGGCTCTCGGGCGCCGAGGGGGGCTCGCCGGAGGGAGGGCCGCACAGGCTCCTGGCCGCCGGGCCGCTGCCGCCGCCGCCGCGCCCTCTGCTGCAGTCGTCGTCGTCGTCGTTGTCGTCGTCGTCGTCGCCGTCGTCGTCGTCGCCCTCGTCGCCGCCGCCGCCGTCGTCGTCGTCGTCGTCGTCGTCGTCATTTTGAAGTGCTTGCACGTTTTGGGGCGCGGGGTGCTTCCCTGGGGCTGTGCGCGCCGAGGTCCTGAACGCCAGCTTCTTCGCCTTCTTCGGCCAGCAGCAGCAGCTCGCCCGGGCGCTGCGCGAGGGCCTCGCGGCTCAGGCCAAAAAGCCTCCGCAGGGGGGGAGGTCGAGCAGGCGGGGTCGGAGGATCGCGCCGCATCGCCGAGGCATCGATTTGAGTCGGGCCTGTCCCTCTACAGGAGGAAAATTCAAACATACTAAAAAAATAGTCTTGGGACAATATCTTTTGAGTTTGTTTTGAACATTTTTGAATATTTGGGGGTCTTTTTGATTTTCCGCCCAGAATCCCCCTGTATGGGGGACATGCCGGACCTAAGGCTCGATGTGGAGCCCGATGTTTCTCCGTGCCGGTGTCGCTGATGCATCGCCGACGTCGCCGAGGCATCGCCCATCCGTCGGCGATGCGTGGGTGCTCCTCCGACCCCATCTAATCGGGCCCCAGCTGGGAATCAACAGCGAACTCATGCCTCAGTCCACCGCCCGCGGTTCATCTCATGAGTTTTGCCCATCGCAGGTCGGCTCGTGTGTTGCACCCTGTATGCCTGGTGACCATTTTAAATCGCAAGACACTTGCGGATGTGCAGTGTGGAGCTCATGTGTGCACAGTCTCGGGACCCCCGAGGTGTCTAATAGTATGTTTATATAATGCGTTTGCGTTACATTGTCATTCGATGTTCGTCTTTATCAACGGTGGGACGTTCTAGTTTCGTTCCTTCTTTGCTCTGGTTTCGTTCCAGTTTCGTTCCGCTTTTGTATCGATTCTGTCCAGCGTTGTCTCAGAATGACACCGCCCCAAGGCGACACTAAAACATCACTGCAACGAAAATCATCAGAGTGCGTGCGTCATTGAATGGCTCCGTGGCCTTGCACCGAACACTGTTTGCCTGTATGGAACAAAGCTATGGCCCCATCTGGGCGACGCCACAAAAACGGGGTTGCCTGCGCCGACATTGGCGCGTAAGTTGCCCGCGCAAGGTCGCGCGTGAGCGCCCTCGTTTCCAAGGTGGCGTGCCGCGCCGGCGGCCCGCGTAAGCCGCCGCGTGAGGTCGCCACGTCTCGGCGGTGTCGAGCCCGGGGGGGGAAGGGGGAAGACGCGGGCCTTTTCAGAAGGCTTGGAAGTCCCCTGGCCTTCTGAGCAGTTTTCTGAGACTTGCCGGAGAAACAGAGGAAAAAACACTCTCAGAAGGCGCGAGGGTTCCTGAGAAGTCACACCGCCTTCTGAGATGGCCTTCTCCGTCTCACTTCCCACCCTCGCTCGCCAGCGAACGTCATTCGCTTCAGTGGAAGCCCATGCCAAGAAACACCCTGCTTACCTCCAGGGTGCCCTCGGTTTCTGGGGCTTCGATGCTTTCTCCATGGAGAGCGTGACTTGCCCACCCAAATAATATGTGGCCGATGGAGCGATGGCGGCGATGGCGCGCCAGCGACTCCCGCGAAGGCGTTCAAGGTTGAATTCTGCGTGCGGAAGCACCGAGGAACACGGTGACGCCACCAGACCTGACAGAATGCAGCCTTGAACAATCGGGGCCGCGATTGATTTAAGGTTGAACGATCGACGCGGTGTCAAAATCTTTTGCAGGCGCCGACGCCTCGCGAACCTACCGTACAGCATCTCGCGTAAAACCCTTTCAGAAGGCGCGAGGGCCTCTGAGAAGCCCCGCCGCCTTCTGAGAAGTCCTTCTCCTTCTCACTACCCCCCTCGCTCGCCAGCGCACAGAACAAAATAGTCTGGTGACGATTTGTCGTGCCATTTTGACTATTGCAGACCAGTTTTTGTTTTTCCTCCCAAACCCGCCTCTAGGAGGACATGCCCGACCTAGCGTAGGACCCGTATTTCAAAGAGAATTATTTGGAGAAAGATTGTAGAATTACAAGGGTAGGCCGGGAGCTCATTCTGGCTTCCGTGAAATATCCCCGGCGCTGCCGGCCTGAAATTGCAGCGTGTCCCGGCTGGCCTTATCTAATCGTTTCCCGATAAGTACGCCCAGAAGATCTCCAGAAGCTCCTTCCAGGACCTCCTTCCAGGAGCTTCCGGAGCTCACTCGAGAGGCCTCCGGACGGCCGTCTGGCGCTCCGCTATCCGTGCAGCGCGTAATAGTTGTACCATTTAGTCCACACGTCAGCTCCGTAAGCGATGGGTCGACGATCCCACGGCGATGCTCCGGCGTCAGTCCGACGTAAATCCGACGCAATTCCGACGTAGTCCGACGTGAGCACGACGTAAATCCGACGGGGATCCCACTTGCCGCGCGAGGCCTTCACCTCCTCCTCCTCATCATCCTCCTTCTCCTCCTCGTCCTCCTCCTCCTCCCTTGTCCTCGTCCTCCTCCTCCTCTTCCTTCTCGTCATTCTTCTCCTCCTCCTCTTCTTCCTCCTCCTTGTCCTCCTCCTCCTCCTCCTCCTCCTCTTTCTCCTCCTCCTCCTCCACCTCCAGAATAGTCCTCATAAGACAAGCCGATCGTCGCCCATCTGGGAGGGCCACCGTCAGGGCCTCCCCGTCGACGCGCTGCTGCCCGCCGGCGTGAGCGCCTTCTGGCTGCTCTCGGAGCCCGTCGCTGGCGGGAGCCGCGCGGGCCACGGCCAGCTCGAGGCGCCCCGGACTTGCCAGAAGCTCCGGGGCAGCGTCAGGGGGGGACAGGGACGACTTTAGAGGGGGATGGGCTCAGGGGTACAGTCGGGGCCCTGGAGAAGGAACCCTTTTCGTCGGGGAGGGGCTCCGTGTTCCTGAATTGTTTCGCAGCTTGCCTCAGCTTTTCCTTATGGCTTCGGCACGAAGTCGAAGTTCAACTTGTGGAACAAGGGGCCGCGCTCCTTATTTAGGGTTCCTGAGGTCAACGCCCCGACTGTAAGGGCCAAGGTTGCGGGTCCTCGGGCGTCTGCGTCGATCCTCGGCGGTTTCCCAGCCTCGGGACGTTCTCTCCAGCGGCTGCGCCCCGTCGAGGGCGTGCCGCGGGTGCCCGGGCTCGTCCCGAGCGGCCGCCGGCGAGCCGAGCTGTGACCCGAAGGGCACGGGGCAAAGACAGGGGGGGAATATAGTCGGGGCGCTGAAGAAGCAAGGGCGCCCTCGAGGGCGCGAAGTTATTCGCGCTTCGCGGTTCGGCTCCGATTCCCCCTCCTCCTCCTCCCCTCCCCTGGGAGGCGGCGCGAGAGCGCGAAGTTATTCGCACTTCGCGCTGCGCGCAGCGCGAAGCGCGAAGTTGGGAGCCCTTGAAGAAGGAACCCTCTTCGTTGGGGAGGGGCTCGGTGTTCCTTGATTGGTTCAAAGTTTGCCTCGGGGTTTCCTGAGGTTTCCAATGGGAGATCGAGGTTGAGCTTACGGGAAAAAGGGGCCCCGTTCCTCATGTAGGGTTCCTCAGGTCAACGCCTCGACTGTAGGCTCAGGGGGGGACGCGTCGGCCCCCACTCGCCCATTCGTCGCCGACGTGGGCCCGATGGCACTTTCCCGCCCAGCAGCGTGCGGCTTCGCCAGCGGGGGTCGGTCGCTGCTCTGTCGGCGATGTATGACCCATTCCCGGTCGATGCTTCCCGCCTGAGCTGGTCCCCCCCCTCCCCCGCTTCGTTGCCCCTCACAAGCGCCGCGCTCCCACTGTTGGCGTCGCAGGCAGCGGCGCGCAGCGGCGCTCGGGGCACCACGCGCAGCAACACTCGGCACCAACGAGCTGGGCACGGAAAGGTGGGGCATGATGCCCATCAGCACTTCCTGTTCACGCTGGCCAGGACCCGCTGTCCGCGCCGCCGCAGACGTTGCCGCGGACGTGGCCGCCTGCCCAACAGCGGCCGCTGTCGGTTTGGGACAACAGTTGTTGTTGGGCATCGTGGCCCTCTTTTCCATACCAGGTTCGGGCGTCCAAAGTGGAGGAGTCAGGGTAGCGGAAGCGGCGGCAGCGGGTATGGTCAGGATTTTTTGCTTAGCGTGTCGTTGTGCCGGTTTGTTTCTGGCCTTCCTTCCCTGGTCTCCCAGCGTGAGCGCCACGAGCTTCTCCGAGTATCCCGCCCCGGGAAGTGGAGCGACACGCGATCCGTTCGCCAGACATGGCATGTCGCCGGGGCCGCCGCCGCGACACGGTATGCACACGCTCCTGACCGCCGTAGAGGGTGTCGCGGCGGCCGCGGTTGGGTTCCTCAGAGGCCCAGTGACACCGTACAGGGCCTTCCCCCCCCCAGGAGCCGCGCTGTGCGACGTCTCGCGGGGAGGCAGCCAGGGGACGACGGTGTGCCGACAGAGGGGAGGCACAGGAGTAGGGGAACGAAGAATGACATAAACATAACAACTCGGAGGTCCGCGCGGATTTCTCGGATCCGCGCTGGGGCCTCCTGGCGGCGCCTCCGGCGCCGCCCCTGGCGCGCTCCGCGCGCCAGGGAGGGTGGTCCAGCGCGGATCCGAGAAGTCCGCGCGGACCTCCGAGGTTTATGTTTATGTCATTCTTCGTTCCCCTAAGAAGTGAAGAGTGGTGCTCGAGCGGCGCACGCACACGGAGACTCTTGCCCTCTGGCTCGGCGATCGGGGCAGTCAGTGGGTTAGCCAGTGACGGGCCCCGCTCTACGCGAAACGACCACCTTTACAGCATCGAGAACGAGAGAACCCCCAACCCTCATAACACGGAGAAGACGTGGCCTCCCTGAGGTCCCCGTCTCTGCACGAGGGATAATAAATCTGGGCCGTTTGGTCCGACTTATCTGCAGAAAAAGACCCCCTATCCCTACTGTTTCTGGGCCTCCTGACTCAGGTCCCCTCCCAAAGGGTTAAGGGTTCTTGCCTGGCTAATCATTACGTGGGAACGGGAAGGACACGCACATGAATTTTCAGACGTCTCGCGCCATCGGTGTGGGCCTCTGGGGCTGGGCTCCTCGTCGCCACGCTTGGATACACGTGGAAACCGCTGCCGAATCGCCACCCCGCCGACAGCTCCGCGTGCCGACGCTTGCGGCAGCCTTTGCTTGTGCGAGCGCTGGCACTCTGAGGTCGGGCGGGCGGCGGCCACGACGCGAACAAGCGTATGGGCAGTCAATGAAAGGAGGAGGGGGAGGAGGAGGAGGAGGAGGAGGAGGAGGAGGAGGAGGAGGAGGAGGAGGAGGAAGGAGGGAGGAGGGGGGGGAGGAGGAGGGGGAGGGGAGAGGGGGAGGAGGAGGGGGGGAGGAGGAAGGAGAGGAGGAGGAGGAGGAGGAGGGAGGAGGAGGAGGAGGAGGAGGAGGAGGAGGAGGAGGGAGGAGGGGGAGGGAGGAGGAGGAGGAGGAGGAGGAGGAGGAGGAGGAGGAGGAGGAGGAGGAGGAGGAGGAGGAGCATGAGGAGCAGGAGCAGGAGGAGGGCAAGGCAGACCGCCTCGGCGCGCCCTTCGACTCATGCGCACGGCGGCCTCCGCAGCACGGTGGTGCCTGGGATCGGGCGCGTGGATCTCGGCACAACGGCGGAGGGAGAAGTGCCCGCGTTCCTCGACTCTTTTCTGCGTTCTTTCGGCGGTGCGCGCCGGCCTCTCTGGTCGGCGAGCGCTGGGCCCCCCCGCGCAGACTCCCGCCCTCGGCGCAGGGAGCGCGCGCGATGAGCGCGCCAGAGCGGAGCGCGGCGGCGCGACGCCGGCCAGTGGGTGCGGGGGACCCTGGCCTCCAGAATGCGAACAGATGTCTCTCCAGAGTGGTAGACTTATCAGGGCTGCTTGAAGCCTCGAGCTCTAAGCCTCCCGGGTGGGGTCCGAGTAGATGGGGTCGGAGGATCGAGCCGCATCGCCGACGCATCGGCGATGTGGGTCGATGTGGAGCCCAATTTCCCCCCACACCGACGTCGCCGAAACATCGCCGACGTCGCCGATGCATCGCCGATGCATCGCCGATACATCGGCGATCTGTTGCAATCCTCCGACCCCATCTGCTCGGACCCCATCAAGGAGGCCGCCACGAACGCATTCAGGATATCGAACTTGTCAGGTCGATCTGCATTCAGAGGTCCTGGCGCCATCTTCCAGCTCTTCCGTTGAAGGAGGGCAGGGGCACCCAGCGCCGGCCCAAGACGTCCTCGCGGACCTCCGCATCCGTTCTCCATTCGTGCCGTTCTCGGTTCGGTGCCCTCCAGCCAGGAGTTCCTGGCGGCCCCTGGGGACGAGGTCCGCGCCCGAGTGAGGACCGCTGGCCGACGCCGCCGTCGCCGCCATCGCCGCCGCCGCCAGCCGCCGCTGCCGCCGCCGCCGCCGCCAGCGCCGCAGCCGTTACCGCCGCCGACGCCGCCGCCGACGCCGTCATCGTCACCGCCGCTGCCGTCGCCGCCACCGTCGCCACGTCTCCGCTTCCGCCGCCATCGCCGCCGCCACCGTCGCCGCCACCGTCGCCGCCGCCGCCGCCACGTTCCCGACGCCGTCGCCGCCATCGCCGCCGCCGTCGCCGCTTCCGCCGCCATCGCCGCCGCCCTCGCGCCATCGCCGCTTCCGTCGCCATCGCCGCCGCCGTCGCCGTCGCGCCATCGGCGGCGGCGGCGGCTGCCCAGGAGGGACTTCGCGCACCAGCTGCACGAGGTGCCTCGGGCCACGGACGACTCCCGCCTGTGGCGGCAGCTGCAGGACGTCCCGGACGCCGGCCTGCTGCCTGAGTACGTGGCTTCCTGCCGCGAGCTGCGCGACAAGGCGCTGCCTGTCGTGTTGGCGATGCACACGACCCAGACCCCCTTTGCGCCATTTTCGGATTTTCGGCCTCTGGGGGCCCTCACTGGGCCTCGTGACCGTGACAAAAATTATTCGGATTGAAAAACGGGTCCCGGGGAAGGGGTCGAGACCTCTGCGGAGGTCGACGTCGTGAAAAAAACACGACGTCGGGGGTCTGGGATGGCCTGCGGCCTTCTAAGAAGCCCGAAGGGCTTCTAAGAAGTCGCTTGCCTCTCGAGAAGACCCCCCCTCGCCTTCTCAGAAGATGCCTTGCGCCAGGGGGTCTGGACCCGCTCGGCAGCCGTGGCGGCTGGGCGGGCTCGGACGCCGAACGGGGCTCAAGAGGGGACATCCTCATGGCGCGCCCCATGGGGCGGGGCCCGGGGAGTGGTCTGCATCTCGGGTGGTACCCTGGGGGACCCTGGACACGACAGGGCAGCTTTTGTGACCTGCTCCATTTTGCTGTCTGGGTTACCGGTTCCGTCGCTGTTTTTCCCTCGTTTTTGTTCCCGGCGATGGTTCCGATTCCAATCCCAGAGCCGTTTTTGTTGCCGTTTTTGGTTGCCGCTTCCATTTTCCAGACACGTGCTCAAGAGACATGTTTTCGGGAACGGTGGCAAAACGGCCTTGCCGCTTCCGGAGCCCACTGATCGGGGACGGAGCCCTGGGAGTGATCGGTATCTTGGGCGGCACTGGTAGTCTTGCTGTTCCCCCGAGCGAAGTCCGACCCAGACCCCCGACGTCATGATTTTTTCATGACGTCGACCCCCAGAGGTCTCGACCCTTCCCCGGGACCGGTCTTTCATCCCGAGTATTTGTTTCACAGTCTCGAGGCCCGTTGAGGGCCCGCAGAGGCCGAAAATGATGCAAAACCTTCCGTCGTGTTTTTTGTCACGACTCGAGGGGGTCTGGGTCTCTGGCAGCACTGGTAGTCCGGCTGCTCCCCCCGAACGAGGTCCGAGGCTGGGGTGGATCCGTGCCCACCACCCAGGAGAGAGCGACATCTTCCTGGTCCTCGGCGGACGGCGGCGATAGGTAGTTTTTCGGTCGCCCTGAGGGCCAGCATAGCTCCCTACAGTGGAGGAGGAGGAGAAGGAGGAGGAGGAGGAGGAGGAGGAGGAGGAGGAGGAGGAGGAGGAGGAGGAGGAGGAGGAGGGAGGAGGAGGAGGAGGAAGGAGGAGGAGGAGAGGAGAGGAGGAGGAGGAGGAGGCGGAGAGGAGGAGGAGGAGGAGGAGGAGGAGGAGGAGGTGGAGGAGAAGCAGGAGAAGGAGGAGGAGGAGGAGGAAGAGGAGGAGGGACAGGAGGAGCAGGAGTGGGAGGAGGAGGAGGAGGAGGAGGAGGAGGAGGAGGAGGAGGAGGACGAGGAGGACGAGGAGGACAAGGGGGACCAATAAACACCGTGCTTGCCTCCAGGGTGCAGACCTCTCGGGTTTCGATGGTTTCGCTGTGGAGGGCGTGGCGTTCCCACACCAAAAATCAATGGACGTCCTGGGGTCTCACGGTGGGTGTCTTGTGGGAGGGTTTTTGTGGACTGGCCTCCACTGTATCCACCGCCCCCTGGAGTCTCACCTATAGGTCCTCTGTGGTTCTGGAAGCGGCAGGTCCGTGTTTTCACCGTCTCCGAACAAGTGTCTCTGGAAAATGGAAGCGGCAAAACAACGGTGACCGGAAACGGCAAACAAAAACGGCTCTGGGATTGGAACCGGAGCCGGAAGCGCTATAAAACAGCTGCGACGACGCCAGCAACAAAAACAGCGTCGGAACCAGCAAACGAGCGGCAAACCAGAGCCCGTGAGAAAACGGACCTGTGGTTAGTTCCAGGGCCCACTCGACCAAGGACATCGGTTCCCCAGGCTGTCAACTTGGATAAATCCCCGGTCTCGCGCGCAAAGGTGCTGCTGGCCCTGCGGGGCGCCCGGCCCCGCACGGCCTCCGACGTCGTGGCCCAGCTGCGGATGTGGGCGCAGCTGGTCCAGACAGGGCGGTTTCGGTAGCAAATCGCGGGAGCCTGGTGTGCCCTCTTAATTCCGTCTTTAGCGTCGGCTAGCGTCGATTCGCATCTGGGAATCGATGAGACAGGGCCGAGTTAGCGACGATCTAGCGCCGATGTTTGCGTCGATCAGCGTCGATCCAGCGTCGATGCTGCGTCGACTCGCGAAGAGCCGGCAAGATGGTGCGGGAGGCTCCTATGAGTTGCCACCGAAGGCGGTTCAGCGGCCCGCTGGCCCAGGGCGCCTTCGAGGAGGCCCAGGCGAGCCGCATCTGCGACCTCTACGGCCGCACCGCCGCGGAGGCGGCGGGCGTGCTGCCGTCGAGGGCCCTGGGAGGCGCGGGGCGGACGAGGGCGGGCCCCCCGTCTCCTTCCCGTGCCCCTCTGGCGTCGGAGCTCGTGCGGCCGCCGAGTGGGGCAGCCGACCGGGCTCGAGGAGGAGGAGGAGGAGGAGGAGGAGGAGGAGGAGGAGGAGGAGGAGGAGGGGGCAAGTGCGGCTGCCCACTCCGCGGCCACATGGGGTCAACCGACGAAAGGACTCAGAAGCGGCCCCTTAGGGAAAGGGGAGCGGGGGGGGGGACGATAGCTGCTGCGCGCAGCCGGTTTCGTCCCCGCCGCCGCGGCGCTTTCCTTGGCACATTGGCGCCTCCAGCGCCAGGGGAGGCGCCGGGAAAGCCAGGCACGCGACCTGATTTGGTGCCCCACCCCCCCGTTTTCTCCCCCTGCGTGCAAGATCTGCGCTGCGTCTCGGATGTTCGGGCCCCTGTCCTGGAAGCCCGAGACGCAGTGGATATGGGCAACCACAGTCTGACTTCTGAAGAGGCGGGCCTGTTGTTCATATCCATCGCGTCTCAGGCAGGAGTGGGCGTCAGAGTTGCATAAGCATGCGCAGCACATTCGCTATTTCCTGGCTGCGCTACATAACATGATATGTGTGTATATATATTTACATACACATAGATACACATATATATATATATATATATATACGTATACATACACACATACATACATACACCCCGCAGGTGGCGGCGGGACGTCGGCCCGCCGCAGGCGCCTAACGTACACAAAGTATGCAAAGAGTCCGCCGCGGGCGCCCATTTTTCGTTAAACTCATGCAGGTGGGTCGTGGGTGGGTCGCGGGTGGGTCGCAGGTGGGTCGCGGGCCGGGGCTCGTGGGGGACGACGACAGCAACAACGCAACGCAACAAAACCAAACAACAGCAAGCAGACCCCGCACCGCGGAGCCCCATATCAGCTACGCATCCAGGGACAGTGAATGACTGGCCGGCGCCTTTATATATGTATGTATATACATCTAGCTAGATCTACTCACATAAAAACCTTTATACATGTATATATATATAGATGTGTGTATACACCTACCTCTTGACTCATACACTGTTGCCCTATATACATGGATAACTGATCAAACCAGCCCTATATATACACATATGAGTATATGCTATATATATGTATATATATATATATATATATGTATAGTCGCTCCCGCTACCAGGCACTCCTCGCAAAACTACGTGTACATGCCGCTCCACAACTAGTTTTGTGCGAAACGCGTTCCGCCTCACAATTGTCATTCTCCTCACCCTCCTGTTCTTCCTCCTTTACCTCCTCTGTCTCCTCACCCACCTCCTCCTCCATCTTCTCTTCCTCCAGTTCAACCTGTCCGCTCCTCTCCGCCTCCATGCGTTACTTACACAAGTAGTTGCGAACGCAGCTCCGCAGGTGGTTTTGTGAGTCATTTGTTGACCATTGCCTTCGTGAGGCTCCTCATCCTCCTCGTCTTCCTCCTCCTGGTCCTCCTCCTCCTTTTCCCCCTGAAATTCCTTCTCCTCGCCATGCATCCTGCCCCCTTCTCAAAAGAGTACGAGTGGAACCCTTCACAAAAAGCAGAATGAGGCGGCTGAGAAACGAGGAGAAGGTTCTCACTGGAAACCGCAACAACAGGATTCTTAGTGAAATCCTCCACAGCAGGGTTCCTAGCAAAACCCTTCACAAGAAGGAGGAGTAGGCGGATAAGGAGGAGGGTAAGGAAGCATGAGGCGGATGAGGAGGAGGAAGGAGGAAATCCTCCACCTCAAGTGAAATCCTTCCTTGTGAAATCATCAACAGAAGGATTCGCGTCGAAACCCTTCACAACAAGGATACTTAGGCAGATGGGAAGGAAGAGAAGGAGTATGTGGCGGATGAGGAGGAAGAGGAGGAGGAGGAGGAGGAGGACGAGGATAGGGGGAAGGATGGTTAGGATGAGGAGAAAGAAGACCACATGTATGATCATAGGGGGGGGCAAGCATCTCTGTCTCTCTCTCTCTCTCTCTCTCTCTCTCTCTCTCTCTATATATAGATTGATAGAAAGCTGATACGGCCAGACTTCAGGGGGCTGCTGGGTCCAGAGCTCGCCTGGAGGGCCTACGACGCCCCCAGATGGCCCCCAGAGGGCCCCAATACGTACCAAAAGGGCTCCAAAACGCCCGAGATGGCCCCAAGACGGCCCCAAAGGCCCCCCCGACGCCCCGAGAGAGCCCCGAGATGCCTCGCAAGATAGCCCCAAGAGGCTAAATCCGTGCAGTTTCCTTCGGGAAACGTACAGTTTGTGCATATACGACGTTTGGTTTTCCCGACGCTCCAAGAAGGCCCAAGACGCCCCCCCGACCGCCCCAAGACGCCCCCATGACGGCCCAAGAGGGCTCCAGGACGACCCCAGAGGCGCCCGAGATGGCCCAAGAGAGCCCAAAGATGGCCACCAAAACCCCCAGCAGGCCCCTATTAAGCCCCAAGGAGCACCCAGGAAGAAACGCAAAACCCATGTTTGAAAAATGCATTCTTTCCAACTGGATGCTGACGAGTTTTGTTTATCCGTGCCCTCGTGCAGATCCGCATGGAGCAGTGCTGGGGGCTCTCGGGGGCCTCCTTGGCTGTCTTCCAGCCCTTTTGGGAACTACTCGGTTTGTCCTGGGCCGTCTCGGGGGCCTCCGAGGCCATATTGGAGCGACCTGTGACCGCTTCGAAACCGAAACCATGTGAAGCGCCCCCAGGTCCCCGCCAGGGAGGGCAACGCGGGCGCGGGCCCCTCTCGGGGCCGCCCTGAGCGCCTCTTGGGCTCGTCTGTGGGATCTCTGACGCCGTTTGGGGGCCCTGTCCGCTCGTCTAAGGGTTCTTTTATTTGGCATGTTGCAGAGAGGCGGGCGTCAGAAATCCTTGGACGGGAGCATGCAAAGTGTGATGGTCGCCAACGGCGGGACAGCCCCCGCCGGGCCACGCGTGGACCACATCGTGGCGCCAACGGCCACCATCATTTCAAGATGCCCACTGCCGTGCGCAGCAATCAACATAAAGATGCCCTGGGACGGTAGGGGGGTGTTCGCCAACGGACACACAACCTCCGCCCGGCCACACGTGGACTGCATCGTGGCGCCAACGACCACCATTCCTCTAAGATGCAGACTGCCGTGCAAAGAATTCAGAGTCTGTGTCGTTGGGCTGGAGTGCGCAGAGTAGTAGCCGCCAACGGCGGGACAGCCCCCGCCCAGCAACACGTGGACCACATCGCGGCACCAACAACCACCGTTCTTATCAGATGCCCACTGCCGCGCAAAGTATTCAACATATTTTCAAGCCGACCGTGAAACATCCGCCGACACAGTCGGCGCGTGGAAGAGGCTAATTCGTTTGACTCTTCGTCGTCGTCGTCGTCGTCGTCGTGGTGATGGTCGTTGTCGTTGTCCCTTCCTTTCCCTTTGATTCCTTCCCCGCCGGGGGGGGAGACGGGGAGTTCTCGGGGGGGGGGTCCGGGGGAGGGGCCTGGAGGGAGTCCCGGGGGGGTTCCCAGGGGGGGGTCGCCACTCAGACACGACTCCCCCCGGCCGGTTCGGTGCCCCAGAAAAGCGCCAAGACGCGGCAAAGTGCTTAAGACGGCCCTCGAGGGCTCCAAATCGCCGAAGTATCGGTCCAAGTAGCCAAAGTAGCCTCCATACGGCTCAAAAGGTTTCCGAAACGCCCCAAGAGGCTTCCAAAAAGGACTTCCAAGGTGGCCCCAAGGTGCACTAATCATAGACTTCCCCAGGTTTTTGAAAGAGTTCGGCATACTCGTCTTGTCTGCTTCCCGACGCTCCAAGATGGGCCAAGTGGCCCCCAAGACCGCCCGCCCCAATATGGCCCAAGAGGCCTCCAAGAGGGCTTCAAAACGATTCAAGATGCCGCCCAAGAGGCCTCCAAGACAGCCGAAAAGGCCCCCAAGATGCTTCTAAGAGGGAGCCCAGACGCGGGACCCGAATGGTCATGTCGAGCCCTCGTCCTGAGAAGCTCCCAGGAGGCCCTTAAAAAGCCCCCTCACAGGCCCCAAAAGGCGCCCAAGAGACCCCAAAAAAACCCAAGAGGCCCCCTCGAGACCCCCAAACGGCCCCCACGAGCCTCCCAAGAAGCCCCCAAAGCTAACCCCAAGAGGCCCCCGAGAGCGCTCGTCGTCGTCGTCGTCGTCGTCGTCGTCGCCATTCAGCGTCGGCGGCACTGGCTGTAAGGCCTTCGGGACATCTTCAACCGCAACCTCCTGCATCCCTCCCCGGGATTGCATTCCGAAGAGCTCAAGCGCAGAAGCGGCGAAGGTGACATGAGCACAGGTGCAACGCCTTATCCGTCTACTCCGTCTCCTCAATGACAAGCGGAAGCGCTAAATCTGTGTAGAATTCGCAGCAGGGGGCCCAGAGGCCCAAGAGGATCTTCAGAGGCCCCAAGAAGCCCCTCAGGGGCCCAAGGAGGACCTTCTTCAGAGGCCCTATGAGGCTCTTCAGAGGCCCCAGGCAGCTCTTCAGAGCCCCAGGAGGCTCTGCGGAGGCTCTTCGGAAGCCCGAAGACCTGCCCCGCTTCACCGTTCCCGGGCATCCGTATACTCCGGAGAACCCTGGGCCGTGCGAAAGCTCACCGGGCCGCGCCAAAACCCACCTGGCCGCAGTAGAACCTTATCTCGGGTGGGAAACGAGGGGGGGGGGGGTCAAATTCGACGTTTGGGGTCCCGTGGGGTAGGATAATGGGATGGGAGAAGAATTCCCCCCCCCCAGGGTGCGCGTTACAAGCCACAGCCTTTGCAAACCGTGGCAGTCGGATGCTGAGCCAGAGCGCTGGTACCGATGACTTCCTGCGCAAGCGTGGCACGATCTTGAAGCCGGATTCTCGCACTGTGCCGTGCGGAACGCTGCGTGCGCTGCGCGCCCACCCCCTGCGACGGGACAGCTCCGCTGAGGCGGCTCCCGCCCGTCCGTCCGTGCACACACACACACACACACATCCGCATCATGGCGAGTGTGATTATGTTGATATTCTCGAATCGGAGTGTCTAGCGTTAACAAACGATCGACAGGTTCTGTGCTTGTTGGAGATTTTAGTGTGCATCCTTGCCCGCCCCCCCAGAGGCGCCCTGGAGGCGGCGCGGCGGGCCGCCGACGCCGAGCGCCAGGCCGCCGCGGAGGCCTTCCACCTGGGCGCGGGGTGGTCGCGGCGGCTCGAGGAGTGCTGCCGCGGCCGGCGGGCCGACCTCGAGAGGCCGCCGTGCCCTCTGGGGTTCCTCCTCCCTCCTCCTCCTCCTCCTCCTCCTCCTCCTCCTCCTCCTCCCCCTCCTCCCCTCTCCTCCTCCCCCTCCTCCTCCTCCCCTCCTCTCCTCCCTCCTCCTCCTCCTCCTCCTCCTCCTCCTCCTCCTCCTCCTCCTCCTCCTCCTCCTCCTCCTCCTCCTCCCTCCTCTCCTCCCCCCTCTCCTATCTCCCCCTCCTCCTCCTCCTCCTCCTCCTCCTCCTCCTCCTCCTCCTCATCCTCCTCCTCCCCCACCTGCTCCTCCTTCTCCTCCTCTTCCTCCTCCTCCTCCTCGTCCTTGTCCTCCTCCTCCTTCTCGGAAAAGGGGAACCTCAGAGCGGCGGACAGTCCAGGGGGGAAGCAAGAAGAGACTGTAGCGATCTGCCTGGCTCTCAGGCAGCCCTGCGCCCCCCCCCCCCTTCCCCTCGGGGCTCCAGAGACGGGGGTCAGTGCAAACGGGGGGGGGTCAGCCAGGGCTCCCGATCTTGCAGGATCTTGCGCGGCCAGGGTCGCATTGACCCGGGCTTTGGCGCAGGATCTTGCAAGATCCTGCAAGGCCTGACTGACCCGGGTCTGCATTGACCCGGGTCAGGAGATCCCCCTCCCCCGTGTAACCTGACCTTGTCCGTTGCGCAGGTCCGAAGGGGGTGCGCAGCACTGGTGCGCGCGGGCAGACGTGGGGCTGCCCAAAGCGAATGGTTAGGTTGTCGGCCAGCACTTCACCCCACCGGATAACAGGGGTCATCGCCGACAAGGAAAAGAGCGATGTCGAGGCGGTGAAAGGCTGTCAAAGATCCGCAGGGATTCTCAGAAGGCCTGCCCCCTCTTAATGTCCCCTGGACTCGCCGCGTTCAGAGGACGAAGAGTTACGGATGTCTCACTGGGCAAGACGCGACTTGGCAAAGACACGCGGCCACGCGAGAGCTTGCCGAGACACTCACCAAGGCCCAGCACAGAGAGCCTGGCGCCCTGTGGGCGGCAGCTTGAGCAGGCACCGCCGCCGGTCCCGTGTTCGCCCGGATGTTCTGGTCAGAAAGCGCCCCGTGTTAGGTCTGTGAAGTACAGTCCACCCGCATCCCAAGGATGGGCAACCTTCCCAAGGGCTTTGTGGGCCCCGGAAACGGCAGGGCCGTTTTTTCACCGTTTCCAAAAACATGCCCCTTGAACATGGAAACGGCAAGAAAACGGCGACCTGAAACGGCAAAAAAAAGGCTCCAAGATTGGAACCGGAGCCGGAACCGGTCAACAAACGGCGACGGAACCGGTGAAAAAATGGCGTCGGAACCGGCAACAAAAACGGCAAAACGGAACCAGTAAAGAAGCGGCCCTGTCGTTTCCAGGGCCCACTAAGCCCAAGGGTACCTTTTGCATCCTTGGCCCTTCGGCCCATGCTGGGCCACGTTCGCTGGCCCAGCTCGTTCGAGAAACGTCCACACGGGGCCTCCAAAGGCTCTTCTGGATCGCTTTTCGCTCCCCGTTGCGGGGTTTTGCACGGACACAGATTCATGCAACAAAAATCCGCGGCAGCACGTCTGCAATGGTCGGCTCGCGCCCCCCCCCCCCCAAGCGAGCACTCCTGGAGCAGGCCGACCACCCTCTCGGGGCGTCCCCGTCCTCCCGGCCTCTCGGTGGCCTGGTCTTAAGTCGGGCACGTCCCTCTACAGGAGGAATCTTCAAAATAATAATCCGAACATAGCCTGGGGACGATTTGTCGACTATCCTGCACATGGGGGCGTCCCCGTTCTCGGCCTCTCGGGGCCTGGTCTTGAGTTAGGCATGCCCCTTCTACAGGCGGAACATTCAGAAGTAGTCAAAACATAGTCCAGGGACGATTTTTCGACTACTGCTATATATATATATATCTTGACTATCCTGTATTTTGACTACTGTCCTGTTGGAGGACATGCCCGACCGAAGTCTGGTGGTCCTTTGGCCGCGTGGCCCTGTGGGAGAGCAGCTCGGGGTCACGAGCCTGGCCCCTGGAGGGAGGGGGGCCCTGGGCTCCGGGTGGGCGGACGGCACCCCCGGGGGGCGATGCGCGTGGGGCCATCGAGGACCGCAGGGAGCCGGCCCCGCCACAGGGGGCCCTACAGGGCCCCTGAGCTGCCACCGCGGGTTCAGAGGTGGAGGAGGAGGAGGAGAGGGACGAGGAAGAGCACACGCTGTGTCACCCAGCGTTGATTGCCTCCCGTCAGCGAACGCCCAATCCAGGACCTCTCTCTCTCTCTCTCTCTCTCTCTCTCTCTCCCCAGACTCCATGTTTCGGGTCGTGGCAGAGAGGTCCAACATGGAGCTCGTGCTGAGGCAGTGGAAGGCCGACGCGCGTGGCATCGCCGAGGAGGGGGGCTGCTTCTTCCTGGACCGCCTCGGCGGCCTCCTGGCGGAGTACGAGTCGGCCTACGCGACGGGGCTGCCGGCTGCACGCAAATACAGTCGGGGCCTTGAAGAAGGAACCTTTTTCGTTGGGGAGGGGCTCCGCGTTCCTTAAGTGTTTCACAGCTTGCCTCAGGTTGTTCCTTATGTTTCCGAGAGGAAATCGAGATTTAACTTATGGAAAACCAGGGGCCTCGATCCTTATTTAGGGTTCCTTAGGTCAACGCCCCGACTGTAGTGACCCTCCGCCAGGTTGGCCTCTCGTGGGCGGCCTTGCGAGCACGCGGGCCGCCACGTGGTGCCGCATCGCGTGCAGCGATCGGCGAGCCGCGCAGCAACGGCGACCCTCCGGAGCGACCTCTTGGTGCGCTGTTGATTCGTCTGCGCGAACGCAGTGGGTACGGGAAGAATGGGCACTGTGCACTCCAGATTTCGTAATATAGGGAGGGGGGTCTCATTTCGGGGGGGTCTCTTCCAGGCTATCTTGGAGGGCCTAGGGGGTCTGGGGACGATGTTTTGGAGGGTTCTCCCACGGGGGAGGTCTGAAATGGCTTGTCTTGGACGGTCCAGACCCCCTCCCTTTTATTACGAAATCTGGAGTACAATGCCCAACAGCAGTTCCTGTTCCTTTTGCACAGGACTCGCTGGCCGCGCCGCCGCGGCCTGTGTCCCTTTGAGACCGAAGGCCGCCTGCCCAACAGCGATCGCTGTCGGTTTGGGGCAGCATGTGTTGTCTGGCATTGTACCCCTGTTTTCCGTACCCATTTCGGGCGTCCAAAGGGGGGGGGGGAGGGTGGGCAACCCCGAGCACGCAGGCCGCCGCGGCTGACCTGCTGCCGCGCCGCGCACGCCGCGGACAGCAGGCCGCACACCCAGCCCAGGCATCCGGCCTCTTGGTGCTTGCGATAACCCCTAACGGGTCTTTGGAAAGCCTGCCGCGGATCCAAAAAGAGGGCTGCACCCCGCGTCGACGCGCCCCTGCGGCGGCTGCTGCCTGCGGAGCGTTGAGGCTCTTGCCGGGCCCGGTCTTCACTCCGTTTCACTGGGTCTCTGCCCAGGCGCGCTTCCGCGCGACCTCAGGAGCCCAGCCCCTGGACAGTCAGCAGACCACTGTCTCTCTCTCTCTCTCTCTCTTTCTCTCTCTCTCTCTCTCTTTCTCTCTCTCTCTCTCTCTCTCTCTCCAGTCCCAGACCCCCAAGGTTATGTTTTTTTCGTGACGTCGGCCCCCAGACATCTCCACCCACTCCCCGGGACCATGCTTCCATCCTGAGTCGCTCTTTGACGGCCCCGATGCTCGGCAAGGGCACCCGGAGGCCGAGGATAGCGAAACACCGCCCGCCGTTTTTTTGTTCACGATTCGAGGGGGTCTGGGTTTGTTGCGTGTCTCCGATTCTTTGGTTCAAACGCACTAGCGCTAGCGTCTGATAACCAATGAGATAGTCCCGATTTAGCGGCGATGATTGTCAATTTAGCGTAGATTTGGCCTCGATGAGCGTCGATGTGGCGTCGACTGGCGTCGACGAGCGTCGATCTGCAAGAGCCAAGAGAAAGATGGTATGGGAGGCTCCCATGAGCTGCCGCAGAAGTTTGCGTGTCGCCGAGGCTGGGATTAGGTCGGGCACGTCCTCCTACAGGAGGAGTTTGAAGGAAACATGAAAATAGTCATATTCAAGAACATGGTCAAACATAATCAACACATCGTCCCCGGTTTGTGTTGTCTGCTTCCTTGTTGGAATTTTCTTCTTGTACAGGGACTTGCCCGACTTAAGGCTTCGAAGAAGAACACCACAACGCCATAAACATAAACTTCAGGCAGTCCGCGCGTATTTCTTGGATCTGCGCGGGGCCCCTCTGGCGGCGCCTCCAGCGCCGCCCCTGGCGCGCGGAGCGCCAACAAGTGTATGTTTGTGGCAGGGGCGGGGGGGGCCAGGGAAGGTCCATCCGCGCGGAGCGCCAACAAGTCTATGTTTTGTGGCCGGGGCGGGGGGCCCAGCGCAGGTCCAAGAAGTCCGCGCGGAGCGCCACCAAGCCTATGCCTGTGACAGGGACGGGGGGCCCAGCGCAGGTCCAAGAAGTCCGCGCGGAGCGCCACCGAGTCCTTGGCTTGTGGCAGGAACGGGAGGCCCATCGCAGGTCCAAGAAGTTTCGGCGTTTGTGGCGTTTTTTCTCCTCCTCCTCCTCGTCCCGCACGGCTGCCACGGGGCTCCCCTCGGCCCCCGCGTGGCGGCGGCTCGGCGTCGTCTCGGCGCGCGGCGTGATGCTGTCGATGTGGCGTTTCGCAGGTTGTGAGCAGCACTCGAGCGTGTTCGCCGCCGTCGTCCTCGACGTCTCGATTGTATTCTTCATTCCACGTTGTTCATTGCCCCACGTTTCCGCAATTTTCTCACGTGTTCTCTGACATGTTTGAGGCCCGGGGTGGCTTCCATCAGCTGCGCCTCGTCGAGGGCCTCCTGCTCCCCCTTCTCCTCCTCCCACTCCTCCTCCTCCTCCTCCTCCTCCTCCTCCCCTCCTCCTCCTCCATCCTCCGTCTCCTCCTCCTCCTCCTCTCCTCCTTCTTCCCTCCTCCTCCTCCTCCTCCTCCTCCTCCTCCTCCTCCTCCTCTCCTCCTCCTCCTCCTCCTCCTCCTCCTCCCCCTCCTCTTCCCTCTCCTCCTCCTCCTCCTCCTCCTCCTCCTCCTCCTCCTCCTCCTCCTCCTCCTCCTCCTCCTCCTCCGTCTCTCCTCCTCCTCCTCCTCCTCCTCCTCCTCCTCCTCCTCCTCCTCCTCCTCCCTCTCCTCCTCCTCCTCCTCCTCCTCCTCCTCCTCCTCCTCCTCCTCCTCCTCCTCCTCCTCCTCCTCCTCCTCCTCCTCCTCCTCCTCCCGCGCTTCTTCCAAGGCTGGGGCCGCGCTTCGGGGCCCTCGCCTGGGAGCACGGCGCCGAGCTGCAGCGCGCCGGCTTAGTGGAGTGCGTGCGGCTCGGCGACGTGCTGCGGCCCTTGCTGCCGCTCGTGGCGCCGTACCTGCTAGGCGGGGGCGCCCCACGGGGGGGAGCACAGTCAGGAGGAGGAGGAGGAGGAGGAGGAGGAGGAGGAGGAGGAGGAGGGGGAGGAGGAGGAGGAGGAGGAGGAGGAGGAGGAGGAGGAGGAGGAGGAGGGGGGGGGAGGAGGAGGAGGAGGAGGAGGAGGAGGGAGGAGGGTGAGCAGGAGGAGGAGGAGGAAAAGGGACCCATACATCTCCCCTCCCCTCGTTGTCCCCTTTTTGTGTCTCCTCGGAGGCCTTCGTCGCCACCGCTGGAGTCGCCTCGAGATTCTGGTCAGAACGCACTCCAGGAGATGGGAGTAGCGGTATCGGTACCCTTTTTGCTGCCCCAACAGATCCATCGAGGATTAAGAGAACCCCTAAGCTGAATAGCAGAGTGAAAACGTGGCCTCACTTTGGTCCCAGTTTTTCACATCAGGGACAATCAGTCTTGGTACATCTGCAGAGCAGACCCCATGTCCCTAATGTTTCTGGCCCTCCTGACTTAGGTCCCCTCCCAACGAGTTTGTGGTCCGTTCGGTGTTCATCAAAGATGGGTCTTGAGGGATGGGGTCCTGAGGATAGGAAGGGATCCAAGGGTGTTTTTTCGGTAGGTTGCGTCGTTTCGACCGGCGGCGAACCAGAATCGGTCGATGCTGAACGAGCTGACGCTTCGGAAAGGCCCGATCGTTCAAGGTTGAACGATCCCTGCGGTGTCAGAAACAATCGCCAGGGTCGACACGACACGAACCTGCCGTACACTGTTTGAGGCACCTCGTCCTCAGGACCCCATCCCTACCTCCGATGGGTGTCTGTGATTGTTCACAGTCCGGGCGTCGTTTCCCCACGACGGCGTCCGGGGCCCGTGGTCGTGCCGCAAGGCTATCAAAATGGATCTGGCCAGACGGGGCTAGGACGAGAATAAATCCGTTCCAGAGCGTTCTGGATCGCTCCCAGAGCGTCCCGGAACGCTCCGAGAAGGCCGCAGCGCTCGAGACAGCCTCCAGAGCCACGCGATCTCCGAGATGCTCGCTGCATCCTCGCCCGATGTTATCCTCGTCCTGGCTCCGCTTCACCTGGGGCGCAAGGCAGCCCTCGGGGTCGGGGCCCCTGCCCCTGCTCCTCCGACCCACGGCGTGCGGGCCCTCGTGCAAGAGCCGACGAGCGACGTGTAGAGCCCTCCTCCTCCTCCTCCTCCTCCTCCTCCCACTCGTCCTCCTCCTCCTCCTCCTCCTCCTCCTCCTCCTCCTCCTCCTCCTCCTCCTCCTCCTCCTCCTCCTCCTCCTCCTCCTCCTCCTCCTCCTCCTCCTCCTCCTCCTCCTCCTCCCCCCCCTCCTCCTCCTCCTCCCTCCTCCTCCTCCTCCTCCTCCTCCTCCTCCTCCTCCTCCTCCTCCTCCTCCTCCTCCTCCTCCTCCTCCTCCTCCTCCTCCTCCTCCTCCTCCTCCTCCTCCTCCTCCTCCCCCTCTTCCTCCTCCTCCTCCTCCTCCTCCTCCTCCTCCTCCTCCTCGCTTTCTGCCCTGGCGGCGCTGGGGACACGCCCACGATTGATGATCCCCAGGACGTGTGTCAACCCGATGTGTATTTACCCCGTTCAGCCCCACGGGTAGATCATTGCATCACCCGCGTCGTATTGAACGGTCTCGATGGACCAGCACACGTTGACGCTAACACATGTTCTGAGGATCGTCGGCACGAAGCCGCTTGTCAAGCAAACAACGAGGCCGAGCGGGAGTAGGTGTGTGTGTGTGTGTGTGTTTCATTCCTGCAGACCTGGGGCGCAAGACAACCCCCGCGGGAGTGGTCGGGGCCCGTGCTACCACTCTCGTCGCGCCGGCTACCTGCCAGGCATGGGCACGCGGGGGAGGGGGGGGGGCCCCGTGCGAGTTTGCGAGTTGGAAATAATGTGACTCGGGTGAGCTGGCACGAAGGCGCTGCACGGTGCATCGGCAGCTGACGCCGAAGCCGAAGTTGATCAAGAAAACTCCGCGGGGGGGTAGATCAGGAGGTTTTAGATCAGTAACCTTTCGGGGATGTGTATGTCTATAATTTGACGGATTTTGATGGATTACAATTTGTTAGTTATTACTTGGGTTATGATGGTGATGCTGATGGCGGTGGTACCGATGGGTGATGATGATGATGATGATGATGAATGATGATGATGATGATGATGATGATGATGATGATGATGATGATGATGATGATGATGATGATGATGATGATGATGATGATGATGATGATGGTGAGAATGAGGATGGGAGCTGGTGAAGTTGATGACGTTCACAATGGGAGGTGACGACGTCATGGTTTTCTTTTCATGTCGATCCCCAGAAGTCTCGACCCCTTCCCTGGGACCGGTTCTTCATCCTGAACCGCTGTTTGACAGTCCCGAGGCCCCGTAAGGGCCCCCAGCGGCCGAACATAGCGAAAAACCTCCCGTCGTGATTTTTCACGACCCGAGGGGGTCTGGGAGTATCGAGGCTCCCTGCCAGGCAGCGTGTGCTCCGCTCGGCGGTTCCGCCTCGCCGCGGCGCTGCTCGCCGCGTACTGCGCGCTGCAGCACTTCGGGCGCCTGCCCCCGTGGCTCGACGCGGCGTACCCGGTGCTCCAGCGGCACCCGCCGTTGCTGAGGCTCTCCTCCCTCCTCCCTCCTCCGTCCTCCCTCCTCTGATGGGCCTGTTCCTACCACCACCGCCATAAGTTGGACTGGGGAGGAGAAGGAGGAGCAGGAGGAGCAGCAGGAGGAGGAGGAGGAGGAGGGGGAGGAGGAGGAGAAGGAGGAGCAGGAGGAGCAGCAGGAGGAGGAGGAGGAACAGGATGAGGAGGAGGCGGAGGAGGAGGAGGAGGAGGACCCCCTCCCCCTCCATGTTATGGTGGTGGTGGTGGTGGAGATCAGGCCCATCATCCTCCCTCCTCTCTCCTCCCTTTTCCCTCCCTCCTCCTGCCTCCATCCTGTGACCAGAGGGGTGATTCGCTTTCTTGTTTTCTTTGTGAGGCCCAACGGGGCCCACAAAGGCAGAAGTCCTCAGCGAACCGAACAGGGCACGACCCAGGGTCCCATCCTGCGTTCGACCGACCTCCCTCCTCGGGCAGTGCCGAAGTCCGATATCCTCTTCGGCATGGATCTTCGGGTGCCTCGGCAGGTGGCGGTTGTAGGTATGTCTATATATATATATGTATATATGTGTATAAATATGTCTCTATGCCTGAATGTAAGTATTGTGTATGTACATACGTATGTAAGTCAGGAAGTACGTAAGTAAGCATATTTGTATGTATGGTTGTATGTATGCGTGTATGTGTGATTGTTTGTGTGCCTGTCTGTCTGTCTGTCTGTCTGTCTGTACGTATGTATGTATGTCTGCATGTACGTATGTATGTATGTATGTACGCATGTATGGTTTGTTGGGATGTTTTGTGTTTGTACGCGCGTCTGTATGTTAGGCCCTAGGGGGCACACACATATCTATATATATATATAGAGATATGTGTATACCTATTCATATTTAAATATAGACACAGTCATGGAACTATGTACCCACACTCATGTTTGGATCTAAGTATAGATGCATATGCGTACACTCATACCTCCATGCACACATGTATACACATATGTATTCATATGCGTGTGTATATATATGTGTGTACATATATACATGTCGCCAGATCCATCGCCTGCCAGTGCCCCCCCGACGATCGATCCCCCTTGCGGCGGCAATGGATGAGTCCTCGCCCCGCACGAGGGGGCCACCATCTGGGGGCCACCACCGCCTCCGGGACGTCGAGAGAATCGAGGTGGTCGCCAGAGGGGGAAGTCACTGCCGCTACCCCTCCGACGAAGGCATCTACACACCACCACCGTGCCAGGCCGGGGCCATGCTGGGCCCCAGGATGGGGTTTAGACCCTCCTGGCCTCGGCCAGGAGAGGGCATACACCACGCCAGGGCCAGGATGATCCTGGCCTGGCATGGCGATGATGTATAGATGCATTTTGCGTATACAGTCGGGGCGCTGAAGAAGGAACCTTTTTCATTGGGGAGGGGCTCCGTGTTCCTTAATTGTTTTGCAGCTTGCCTTAGGTTTTCCTCAGGTGTTCGAGGTGAAATCGAAGTTCAACTTATGGAAACTAGGGGCCTCGTTCCTTATCTAGGGTTCCTTAGGTCAACGCCCCGACTGTACCCCTGCCCGTCCCTGCAGGGGCAACGATGGCTGCGGGGGCGTAGGCTCAGGAGGGCACGCATCGACCCCCAGTCGCCCACGGATCGCCGATAAGGGGCCCGACGGCCCATCCCGCCCAGGAGAACGTGCGGTTTCGCTGCATCGCCGATTCCGGGTAGACGTTTCCCCCCCTGGGCCAGCCCCCTCCCCCTTGATGGTGCCCTGTGGCCTTTCGCTTCACAGCCCGTCTCTCCGGCGTTCGTTCATCGCCGATTCCAGGTAGATGTTCCCCCCCCCTGGGCCAGCCCCCTCCCCCTCACGGTGCTCCGTGACCTTCCGCTTCACAGCCCGTCTCTCCAGCGTTCGCTCGGGACGATGCCGGCACCACCAGAACGCCCTCGGCGAGGCGCAGCCGCTGGAGGGCATCCCGAGGCGTGAAAGCCGCGGAGAATCAACGGGCATGTCCCGAAAAGCTCAAGAAGCTCGGGGAGAGGTCCATGCTCAGCCCCTGGCATCCAACGACGCGAAGCTTGCCATCGCTCGGACGTCCATTCCCCGTGCATGTTTCGGAGTCGCGCGTTTTGTTTGTTGGGCCAGATGATCCAGACTGCTCCTCCATGAACCCCCGCCCAGAAAGAATGCACACCTCCGAACGATGCGTATCTTAGCCTCTCGTCCCTCGTCGCCATGGCCGCCGCCGCCGCCGCCACCGCGCGCCAGCCGCCGCGAGACAGAGGCGGGCGGACGGCGCGCCGCTGGCCTTTTGGGCGCCGCCGCCGCCGCCGCAAGCCGCCGCCGCCGCCGTCGACGCCGACGACGACGCCGACGACGACGCCGCCGACGCCGCCGACGACGACGCCGCCGACGAGCCGGAGGCTGGCGGTGGGCGCGCCGCCGGGCGTGTGGGCTTCCGCTCGCCGGGCCCTCCGCGGCCTCGGCGTCGCCTGGCACGCCCAGAGGGCGGCGCGGTGTGCGGCGCCCGCGTGCCAGGCGTTCGGAGTTCGAGGGTCGTCGTCGTCTTCGTCGTTGTCTTCGTCGTCGCCGTCGTCTTCGTCGTCGTTCGTGTTGTCGTTTTTGTCGTTGTTGTCGTCGTTGTCGTCGTCGTCGTCGGCGTCTTCTTTTTGGTCGTCGTTTTTATTCGTCGTTGTCGTCGTCGTCGTCTCCGTCTCCGTCGTTCGAGGATCGTCGTTGTCGTCGTCGTCGCCGTCGCCGTCGGCGACGGCGCCGTCGCCGTCGCCGTCGTGAGCGAGCCAGGCGTCGGGGGTTCGAGGCTCGAGGCGCTTTTTCGTCGTCGTCTGGGAAGGTGGGGAGGTTGTTGCGTTTTTGTTCGGTTGGAGGGGGGGAGTTCGCGTCGCGGCGGTTGGGCGCGGCTCTGAATTTGGCCCAGGCTCGAAGGACCGATGATTTCGAAGGATCCTGAAAACTGGCTCGGGCTCGAAGGGCCGATGACTGCGAAGGATATCGGGCCTCCCGCATAGGAAGGATGGGCAGCCTTCCCAAGGGTGCCCGTGCATCCTTGCCTCCTCGGTCCATCCTTCGCCACTTTCGTTGGCCGCGCCCCGCTCGAAAGTCCTCGAAATGGGCGTCCGAGGCCCTTGCATCCTCATCGCGCCTCCTTGCTACACGGGTTGACTATATCGAGCCTCTCCAGGCCTCCGCCCCGGGGGCGAGTCCTCGTCGCCACGACCGTCGTGTCGTCGCCGCCGCCCCGCCCCGCCCTCTGCGGCGTCGTCGCTCCGTCGGTGTCGTTGTCGCCGTCGCCGTCGCCGTCGCCGTCGTCGTCGCCGCCGACGTCGCCGTCGTCGTCGCCGCCGCCGTCGTCGATCGACCCTGAGATCCGGCGTCGCCGCCGACGTCGCCGTCGTCGTCGTCGCCGTCGTCGTCGATCGACCCTGAGATCCGGCGTCGCGGAGACACGAAAGCACAGCGCAAAAAAGCATGTCTTTTTGGTGACCCCATCGTTCGGAGGCAGTGCCGTCGGCCGGGTCGACCCGCCAGGGCCGCCTTGCGCCCGAGGCCGGGGGCCAGCGCCACGGCACGGAGCCATGTGCCACGCACGGGCCCCTCGCGAGGGGGGGGGGGGGGGATGATCCGCGGGGGTGGCGGCCATGGCCGGGGCCAGGATGCCCCCAAGTTTATCGTTCCTTCGTTCCTTCGTTCCTTCGTCTCTTCGTTCGCTCGCTCCTTCGTTCTCAAGCGTTTCACCGCGCCCCTTCGCTCCCCCGCGGCCGCGCACGTGCCTCGGGCCATGATTTTTTGCGAGACCCCCCCCCCCTCCCTCCGGTTGCGGCTAGACGGCTAGACCCCCGGATCTCTTCCATCCAGAAAGCCGACCACTGGGGAGGACGAGGCCTCTGCAGATTCCCGCAACTGTAGATCTACAGCTTTTTGGCCCCTAACTTTGCACTCTGATGCGTGATGTTTAAAATTAGCGTCTATTCTGCCTTTCCACGCATTTCTGCTTTAAGTGTAGGCTTCGCGTTGTGTTTCCACACCTGTCAGCGTCATGTCTAGAAGCTACGTTTTGAGATGTGTAGACTTGGCCCGCCGCAAACGAAACACACAGACCCACGGATGTATAAAAATCAGCTTCTGGTTCTGAGCCCCCCCACCACTTTGAGGGCGTGCATACCGCCGAACCCCTTTCCCAGACTACCGACGTCATGATGTGCTCATGACGACGTCGACCCCCGGAGGTCTCGACCCCTTCCCTGGGCTGTTTTTTCATCCTGGGTCCTTTTGTGCACGGTCCCGAGGCCCGGCAAGGGCCCCCAGAGTCCTGCTGCTGCTAATGGCATGGAGAGACGAAGTCCGTTGCCACCATTCCGGCCCCTCCCGACGGCCATCGCCGCGGGGAGGAGGGGTTAAACGAAGAAGAAGCAGGTCAAGGCAAGGGGCTAGCCAGCTCCGTCACTTCCAACTAGCACATAACCTTCCAAGAGTCCTCCTCCTCCTCCTCCTCCTCCTAGCTCCTCCTCCTCCTCCTCCTCCTCCTCCTCCTCCTCCTCCTCCTCCTCCTCCTCCTCCATGCATGGCTCGAGGGGGTCTGGGCCTTGGGCGACCGCCGACCTCGGACGCCCCCCCCGCCCCCCGGTGGGGGGGAGCGGCCCCCGTCGCCGCGGCGGGGCGGCCGCCTCGAGGGGCCTCCCGGCCCCGAGCGCGCCCCAGCCTGACGCGCGCGGTGGCCGGTCGGCGGCGCATCCGCGCGCTGGGCCCGTGCGCGCCAGGCTTACGCCGGGAGCGTCCCTCCAACCGGGAGGAGCATGCAGGAAGAGTCGAAGAAGAGAGTCTGGGAGCGAGGCGTCGCGCTCCTGGGGCTGGTGTTGGCTGCGGTCGGGGCCAGTCTTCGGGCGTCTTCCCAGAATCCGCCTGTGGGAGGGCACGTCCGACCTCAGGGTAGAGGAGCAGAGCAGGAGGGTGAGTCAAGCAGTGGCGAAGCGTCCAGACTTGCGGACAGGCCCACCACAGTAGGCCCTGCAAGCCTTGAGTGGTTGGCACGGGCTGCTCCTTCACAGGACAGTTCTGGCCGAGGCAGTCTCGTTTCAGTCCTCTGCTCTGCGGAGCTGTGCTCGCTTCCTGGGGTCATCTCGGGGGCTCCACGGGAATGCCGGGACGGTCGGCCCCTGCCCAGGCGAAGAACGCTGAGGTCCGGCAGCGGCACCGCTGCGGCTGTGCCCCTCCGCTGGCGCGGCACCTCCCATCTCCACGAGGGTGCGGCGCTCTTCGGCTCGGGGCTCTGGGGCCGGGCGTCGGGCCGGACTTTCCCGTCTGCGGTGTCCGCCGTCCTGGCTGGCGAAGCCTACCCCGTCGTCGTCACAAGCGCCGTGGCGTCGGCGTGGCCGCGTCGTCGCCTTCTGCGTCGTGGTGTCGTCGCCGTGGCCTCGCCGTGGCGTCGTCGCCGTGGCGTCGCCGTGGCGCCGTCGCAGCGGCCGCCGTGGCCGTCGTGGCCGTTGCCGGTTTGGCGCAGCTCCTCCTGCTGGTGCTCCCTCTCCGCTTTCACCGCCTGCTCATCCGTCCCCCCCCCCCCCATGGTAAGCCCTGGCGGGCACACATGTTGAGGCCACGACCTCCACTCGATGCCCTTCTGGATATGGGCAGGCTCCCTGGAGGAGCGCGCACGACTTTGGCGTTCGCTTCGCTTCGCTTCTTTTCGCCTTGCCCCACTCCCCAGACCCCAGACGTCATGATTTTTTCATGACGTCGGGCCTCGACCTGTTCCCAGGGACCGGTTTTTCATCCCGAGTCTCTTTTTCGCGGTCCCGAAGCCCGGCGAGGGCCCCCCAAGGCCGAAAGTGGCGCAACGCCTCCCGTCGTATTTTTGTTGTTCTGACTCGAGGGGGACTGGCCCCCGCAGCCGTTCTTGGCTCCAGGCCTGCCCGTCTCCCTGCGGGCTCTTCCGTGCACCGAGATATACCAAACCAGACGTCATGGCGGGCCGCTTCGCCAAGGCCGCGCTCCTGCTCCTGGTGCTCCCCGGGTGCGCCGCTGGCATCCAACAGGTGGCCGCCAAGGTCGAGGGGCAGAAGTCCGAGGTCTCGCTTTCAGGCGGGGAGCTGCTGGAGAAGCCGATGCGGCTCATCTCGACGAAGCAAATACACCGCAGAAAGAGATTTCGGAGGAGGAGAAAGGTACCCGTGCCGCTACCCTTCCCTCGTTTCCCCCCCTTTTGGTTCTCCTGGGAGGCCCTCGTCGCCACCGCTGCTCTCGCTTCGAGATCACAGTCAGTACGCACCCCGGGAGAGGTCCGGGGAGTAGCAGTATCGGTGCCTTTTGGTTTCCCCGACATCCTTTGGGAGGTCCGCGCGGATTTCTCTGATCGGCGCTGGGCCCCCCTCCCTGGCGCTCGGAGGGCGGCGCCGGAGGCGCCGCCAGGTGGGCCCAGCGCCGATCCAAGAAATCCGCGCGGAGGTCCGACGAGTTTCGTTTGTGCCGTTCTTCTTCGTCGATCGTCACGGCTGTGCTGCAGGCGCTGACGCCGTTCGGAGAGCCCGTGGTGGAGAAGCACGCCGCCGAGGGCGAGAAGGAGAAGGCGCGGACCCCGTCGCTGCTGACGATGAACGTGGACGACCAGAAGCAGCACGTGTACGACTCGAAGCACTCGTACGTGCATGGAGGGCCGCCGCTGAACAGCAACGGCGACACGTTCGATATCCCGCTGAAGTCGCAGATCTAAGGTCTGCTGCTGCGGGAGCGAGCCGGCGCCCGGGTGGGCTCCAACGCCTTCGGGGGGTCTAACATATACTCTAGCTTGGGCCACCAGAAACAATTTCGAGCATTCAGAAATTGTCGATGTTGCAGGGTTTCCACGTGCCGCGCCCTGGGAGGCGATACTCGTTCGGCACTTCGCCAGCGTGTCGGGCAGACATCGTTTCGATGCTTTCCCCGGTGCTCGCAATTCGTTTCCTCGAGGCGGTCCTGGAGCGCGGTGGGGGCAACATGGCCCGTGCCACTTCCTTGCCCCCTTGTGCCGCCCGGGCCACGGAAGAGCACGGCGTCGACCGCGCTGACATTCGCGCGCGAGCTGCCCGCGAGAGGTCGCGCGTGAGCTTCCTCGCTGCTCCGCGCGGTGTGCCGCGGCCGCCGGCCCGCGCGGGGCCGCCGCACAGGGCCCGCCGCGCCCTTTCGCGCGGGGCCCGCGCCGTGCCGTCGCTCGCCTCCTGGAGGGTGCGGGCCAGGTGCAGCAGCGAGAGCGCTCGACGTGGGCCCCCTCCTCCTCCTACTCCTCCTCCTACTCCTCCTCCTCCTCCGCCTCCTCCTGCTCCTCCTCCTCCTCCTCCGTGGGCAGCGGGCGCGGACGCCCAGAGCAGCCCTCTGTGGGCCGAGGTTCAGCCTCGGGGTGGGCCGGGTCCAGGCTCGGGGGCCCACACCAGTCGCCAGAGTGGTGGCGGCCACGAGGTATCTGGACGTGTGGGCATCGAAGTGGCGCGCCATCAGGGAGGCGTGCGAATGGCCGCGTTGGAGCCTACCACCGGTAGTCTGACAGCGAATTCGTCTGACGCCGTGGTAAACAGCAGCATCTATCTCGTTGCAGTTAAGGCTGAGTCTCGCGTAGTTTGCGCCTCAGACGGCCGCGGTAGCGTCTGCGGGAGTCTGGGTTTGGCGTTCGGCCGGCGGCTAGAAGTCTCACGATGCTCGCTGCCTTGAAGAGTTGCGGGTCGTCCTCATCTTCATCCTTCTCATCTGCCTTCTGTTGCGTCTGCTCGACCTCCTGCGTTTTCTCCTGCGTGTTCCCTTCCTCCTTGCTTAAGTTCGCCCAATCGGCGGACTTAGGCAACGGAGCTCAAGCGCTTGTATGGGAAAAAGGCCGACTTAGGTGAAGGGCTCAACATATTCAGCGTGGCGAGCGTAGCAGGACAAACCGTTAGGCAAAAGAGACATGCCAACAGGAAGTAAGCCCAATGCGGAGTGTACGCTCACCACGCGGTCTCTGGGGGTGTAAGGTAGACGAACGGAGAGTTCATGGTAAACTTCATGGATTTGAGGAACGAACAAAGGACAGGACGAAATACACGTGCAAAATGTTGCCTCCTGCGTGCTGTAGAATCTGAATCCCCGTAAGTTGCTGTAGGAAATCAGGGGTAAACTAGGCAGCAATGTTTCATAACAATGGCTGGCTTGGCGACGCGCTGTGTGCGTATGCTGGCACAGTCTGGATTGGCTAACCTAGTGAACCACAGAAAAAGAGCAGGCGGCTTGTGCAAGTGGGGTTGCGTAACATCGGCCCTTCCCGTCCATACCCTCATCCTGCATCCTCACATTCCCATTCAAGATAGTAGACTGCGGGTTGCTAGGCGACGCTGGGCAGCTAACTTGGCGTGATGTCGTTAAACCGCAGTGAGTTGCACATTGCTGCAGGCTGGCACACCTGTCTTAAGAATTTCATTGACCTGTCAATAATGCCAATTGGTAGCGAAGCTCTGTTCCACAGCTGTTGGGTTAACTGGGCGGATGCTGGGCAACATTGTAAGACTGGAGTTGGGGCTCCCAGTGTCGTCGCTGGTCGATGCTATTCTTGGCAGTCTTCAGCAGGGGGCCATTCGGCCACCATGGCCGCTGTAGCAATACAGATCCTCATCCTCGTACACCCTCCCATCCCCAACCCGCAAGTGTAAGGCTGGCGCGAATCAACGACTGGCCTGTAGTCGAAGGATAAAGTGGAGCCCGATGAGTGGTTAAATTGCAGAGGGCGCTGTGATAAAACAAGAACGCGGTGGGGATGAGGAGAAGGTGAGGGCGAGGATTGTAGATCAGACATT